GTGTGCCACCATGCCCAGCGATGATAACATTCATCTTAGGGAATTCGTCCCTGTACATGATATATCTTGATTCTTCTGTTTTATCCCATTCCTCTCCCTTCCCTTCCACCTTTCTTCCCCCTGCCTATTTATAAAAGCTTTGCTTCCATTTTTCCTTCTATTTTTTTCTTTCCTGTCTTTCCTTACCCCTCCCCACTCTCTAGTCCCTCTTCCCATTTGAACATTTTCTTTCTATTTCATAATATCTATTATATATTTTGATCTTTACCCTTCCAGTTTCTCCCACCAGAGAAACCATGTGATATTTGAACACATGTGTCCAATTTAGTTCACTTAAGAGTATGGTTCCAAGATGTATCTATTTACCTAGAAATGTCTCAAGTTTATCCTTCCTTATGGCAGAGTAGTAGTCCATTGTATTAAAAAACCACATCTTCTTTATCAGTTCAACTGTTGATGGGCATTTGGACTGTTTCCAGGACTTGGCTATTAAAAACTATGCTATTATAAACATGGGTGTGCATATATAGCTATGCTGTGATTTCTGCTTTTGGGAAGATATCAAGAAGGGGAATCGCCAGGTCACATGCAACCTCCAGTTTTAGTTTTTTGAGGAATCTCCACACTGATTTCCACAGTGGTTGCACCAGTCTACACTCCTACCAACAGTGGAGAAGTGTTCCTTTTTCCCCACAGCCCTGCTAGCATTTGTTATTGGTTGATTTCTTGATAATAGCCATTCTTTCTGGAAATGGAATCTCAGTGTTGTTTTAATTTGCATCTCTTGAATGACTAGTGATGTTGAACATTTTTGCCCTTTCTGCTTCTTCATCGGAAAAGTATCTATTCATTTCAGATGCCCATTTTTGGATTGGGGATCTGAGTTTTTGGTTCTTTATATATTCTAAATATTAGTCCTTTGTGTGAGGAACAGCTGCCAAAAATTTTTTCCCATGCTATGGGTTGTCACTTCACTCTGTTGGTGGTTTCTTGTGCTGTGTAAAACCTTTTTATAAGATGGATCCCAGTTGTTGATTCTTTGTGATATTTCCTGTGCAATCAGGGTTTTGTTCATAAAGTCTTTGCCTATACCTATGTCTTCAAGAGTTCTCCCTATCCTCTCAATAGATTTAGTGTTTCTGTTTTAGTATTTACATCTTTGATCCATTTTAATCTTAGTTTAATTCATAGTGGAAGATATAGGTCTAGTTTTGGTCTTCAGCATGTGGAAAGCCAGTTTTTCCAGCACTAATTATGAAACAGGCTGTCTTTCTTCCAGTGAAAGTGTTTGGCTCCTTTGTCTAAGACAAGGTGGCTGAGCGTGTTTGGAGTTGTTTCTGCATCTCCTAATGTGTTCCACTGATCCATGGGTCTGCGTTTGTTTGTTTTGCCAGTACCATACTGTTTTCGTCACTGTAGTTTTGCGGTATAATTTCAGGTCCAGGATTGTGATACCCTCTGCCTTGCTTTGTGACCCTGAATTGCCTTTGCTATTCTAGGTCTCTTCTGGTTCCAAATGAATTTTAGGATTGTTTTCTCTAATTCTGTGAGGTATGTTGTTGGTATTTTGATTGGAATTGCATTAAATCTGTATAACAGTTTTGGGAGTATGGCCATTTTCACTATATTGGCTCTTCCTTCCCAAGAACAAAGAATATCTTCCCATTTTCTGATATCCTCTTCAATCTCCTTTTTTAGACTCTGTTTTTTTGTTTTTCTGTTTTTGTTTTTGTTTTTCTTCTGGTACCAGGAATCAAACTCACGACCTTGCACTTGCCACCCAGGCACTTTTGCCACTGCATTAAATCCCCAGCCCCAATCTCCTTTTTTAGAGTACTATAGTTCTCAATGCAAGGGTCTTTTACTGCCTTTGTTAGACTGATTCATAGGTTCTTTTTTTTTTTTTTTTTTTTTTTTGGATGTTATTGTGAAGGGTGTTATTTCCCTAATTTCTCTCTGTGAGTTTGTTATTTGTGTACAGGAAGGCTGTCGATTTTTGAGTGCTGACTTTGTATCCGGCTATGCTACTGAATTTGGCTGTTAAATCTAGAAGTCTTTTGTGGAGTTTTTGGGGTCTTCTATGTAGAGTATCATGCCATCTGCAAATAATGATAATTTTACTTCTTCCTTTCCTATCCTTATTCCTTTTATTTCTTTCTCTTCACTAGTTGCTCTGGTTAACGTTTCTAGAACTGTATTGAATACGAGTGATGATAGCTGACCTCCTTGCCTTGTTCTGATTTTAGAGTGAAACCCTTCAGTTTTTGTCCATTTAGTGTGATGCTGGTTGTTGGTTTGTCATAAATGGCTTTCATTGAATTGAGGTAAAAACCATCTATTCCAGTGTTCTGTAGGGTTTTTTTAATCATGAATGGGCGCTGAACATTTTCAAATGCTTTTTCTGCATCTGTTGAGTTAATCATATGGTTTTTGTCCTTGACTCTGTTAATATGGTGTATTATGTTTATTGATTTGCATATTTTGAATCATCCTTGCATCCCTGGGAGGAATCCTACTTAGTCATGGTGTATAATCTTTTTGATGATTTGCTGCAATCTGTTTGCCAGTATCTTATTGAGGATTTTTATGTCTATGTTTATTAGGGAGATTGGCATATAATTTTTTTTTTTTTTTTTTTTTTTTTTTTTTTTTTTTTGGTTGCATCCTTCTCTGATTTTGTTATCAGGATAATGCTTGCTTTCCTTGAGCTATACTTTTTACCTTAGGGTCTGTTTTATCTGATTGCAGTGCCACTGTACCAGGTATCCTTTGGCTAGCACTTCGGTTATCTTTACACTTGAATATTTAATTCATTTTCATTGAATGCATGACTGGTACAGTTGTACTTCAGTTTAACATCTTCTGTGTGCTATTTATTCTGTTTTGCATTTTCTCTTCTCTCTCACCATGCTTCAGGCCTTAGTCATCCCATCTCCTCGCCTCTGTCAACTAGGAACACATGTGACTTCTGTTCCCACGATGACTGCCCTGAACAGTACCGTAGACACCATGAGCTTGTGAATGCCAGTCCTTCTGTTATCCCTTAACTCTGCCCCTGGAGGATGCAGTGACCTGGGACACTTTAACATGGAACATTCTCTCTGCTTATCTGCTATCCTTGTGCTGAACTTTAATTCTGTAGGCTTGCAGCACAATTCCATAGGGCATTGTATACTGCTTCTTTAAACCACCATCATTCACTGAGACTGACACTCGTAAGTTCTTTGCCTTTTTTCTCCTTGTAGGTCTGGCCTGACATTTCCCTTCAACTTGAAGGTGATCCGCTGGAGCCTCTTTGAGTGTGGTTCCGCCACTTATTTATTATTTATCATCATTAACTTGTTGGAATTATTCGTGTCTTGGCTTCAGTAGCAGAGGTTGCGGGGCTTGCTGTGGGCTCTGCTTTCCTGGGTCACATTGGGGTACAACTCCCCCACTCGCCCTCTGCCGGGCCCTCTGCCACCTGCAGCGCCCCTGGTGGTGACTGCTCTGCTTTGTCCTCTGTGGGTCATCTCCTTGGCATTGGCTTTCTGCGTCTCTAGCATCTGCTTGGTGTCACCCTTTTTCTAGCTAGTGTGTCCCTGGGACTGCCGGACCCGTGGCCCGGTTCTGCCTTGGCTCTGGGCACTCTCAGCACTGCCCCACGCCACCCTTCCTCCGGTGCTCCCGCAGTGCCCGTTTGCTTTGTGTCTCCATCCTGTGTCCTGTGCTCCCATTTTTTTTGTCTTCATTCTGCATTCTGAGTAGTTTCTTCTGATCTGTTTTATTTCCAGTCCACTCCTTTTTCTGTAATTGCCTCAAATCTACTCTTAAATCTATCCCTTTATATCTTAATTTCTGATACTTGATTTCTTACCCTATTTATTTGATTCCGTAAAATGTCTTCCTTTGTAATCACCATTCCCGATGCTTTCCACACACCTGCTTCACTGTGGTAAAATACACTAAGGTTTGCTGTCCTCACCATTCCAAGGTGCAGGTCGGTGGTACAGAAGCTCATCACACCGTCGTGCCACCCTCACCATCACCCGCAGAGCGCTTCCTCTTGCAGGACTGAAACTCTGTACCCGTTCAGTGATCGCCCCTATTCACCCCTCCCTCCACTACCAACCATGATTCTGAATCTACTGCCTAGGGACCTCGTGTAAGTGGCATCATGCAGGGCGTGTCCTTCGGTCACTGGCTATGACACTCGTGATGTCTAAGGCTTATCCACGTGATCATGATCAGCATGTTCTGCCTTGTCGAGGGAGCAGTAACCCGCCGTTGGCAAATGCCGTTCTGTTTTTCCACCCGCTCCTCAGTGGGTACTTCAGTTATATCCAGCTTTTAGCTACTGTGAAGAGCGACCTGTGAACATGGCTAACAAATACAGGTCCCTCATACGAGGGCTCTGCCTCCATTTTGCTTCGGAGCCTCTGCACCATCCCCGCGGTGTCTGCAGCGTGTCGCACGTGCACACCCACCCCGGGTTGCACAGGGCTTGCAATTCCTCCTCAGCGTGGCCCACGTGTGACTCGTTGTTGCTGGCATCTCACAGCAGCCTGCCTGCGACACAAGGCGTCTCCGTGGAGCTGTGGTTTGCGTGCTCTGCTGATGCACAGCGTGAGCATCTCCGGGTTCACTTGCGATTTTCATGTCTTCTTTGGAGAAATGTCTCCCAGGTCTTCTGTGCTTCTTAATCCACTTGTTTATCTTTTGTTGTTGAATTTTGAGAAATCTCCGTATTCTAGATATTAGTCCCTAATCAGATGTGTATCAGATATCTTCTCTCATTCCTGTGGGCTGACTTTTTACTTTGTTGTTAGAGTCTTGTGATGTCTTCTTTTGTTGCCAGTGGCCTTGGTGTCATATCCAAGAAGTCCCTGCTGAGCATTCGAGGCTCTGGTCTCCTGTGAGTCCACTTTATCCATAGTATAGGTGAGGGCCCACCTGCACTCTTCTCTGTGCATATCTGGCTTCCCACGCCGTCTGGGAGAAGATGGCCCTTACCCAGGAGAGAGGAGCCTGCGGGACCCACAGCGCCCTTATGCTCTGTTCTCTGTTGGTGGACTTAGGAGCTGAATGACACAGCATGCCCAGCACCTTTGCTAAAGGCCCAGCTCCGATTCCCCTCTTCCCAGTGGCAGATGCTCGTCACCCAGAGTCCAGGACCATGAGCGCATTCACCTCGGCCCAGCACCCCAGTGAGCTCGAGGTCCTGTGACAGAGTGCTTTAGACTGGGCAGCTTATGAACAACGGGTTTGTTTCTCACAGTTCTGGAGACAGCAAGGCCCTGTCATACTCCATGGCCAGGGAGGCCTGCTTCTTGGCGCTGAGGTGGGCCTTGTTACTGTGTCCTCACGTGCAGAAAGCAGCTCTCTGGGCTGTGAGGGCACTGATCCCGGTGCGAGAGCCCCACCCTCATGCCCTAATCACCACCGAACACATCGCCTGGGGGCTAAGGACTTCCGCCGTGAGTGTGGGGAACACAGTGGTTCAGCCCGTGGCAGCTGGTGTTAGCGGAGCATCAAAGCTGAAAAAGCAGGCAAGGTTGTGCTCTGGGAAACACGCCTGCGCCCATGAGTGGCAGAGCTGGGCCTGGCAGAGCTGCCCCCCGAGCCCAGCTCAGCCCTCGGCTTCCTGCCCGCAGGTGAACAATAACGGGATCATCTCCTTCCTGAAGGAGGTCTCTCAGTTCACGCCCGTGGCCTTCCCCATCGCCAAGGACCGCTGTGTGGTGGCGGCCTTCTGGGCAGACGTGGACAACCGGCGTGCGGGCGACGTGTACTACCGGGAGGCCACCGACCCGGCCACGCTGCACAGAGCCACCGCAGACATCAGGCGCTACTTCCCCGAGCTCCCGGACTTCTCGGCCACTTGGGTTTTCATCGCCACGTGGTACCGAGTGACCTTCTTTGGAGGCAGCTCCTCCTCCCCAGTGAGTGCAGCTGCAGTTCCTGGCAGTGGGGAGGTCTGGCCAGGACCCTCAGTGTCCACACCTGAGGGCCAGACGGCCTGGGGCCCACCCATGTCACTTGGCTAGGTCACAAAGCAGGGGCGAGTGGGAGGGGCCGCACACTCCCCAGCCCTTGGTGAAACCCAGATGCCCAGTGTGGCACACAGCTGGGGAGGAGTACGCGGCTGGGGCGGTGCGGCACTGCAGGGGCGTCATTGTCTCCCAGTGCCTTTCTCCCGGCTGACGCAGGCAGCAGGCATGCTAGCGCAGGAGCAAGAGTGCTACCCAGCTTGGGGGCATGGTGGGCTGGCTCCCTGCACACAGACCCGTGCCTGGTACTACGCTACACCCACCCAGGCCGGCGCCAACTCCCAAGGTGGAGGAGGATGTCGGCACGCGTTCGGAGCCTCTGCTGGCTCAGTGACATTTCTTAAGGCTCCTCTGGTGGCAGGCAGTGTCCTGGGCACTGGGGACAGCCCTGATCAGAGCAAACGGTCAGAGGCCAGCCTCGGCGCACACGTTAGTGGGGGGCAGACACAGCCGTGTGACGGACAGCAGGGGACGTATGAAGGCCCGGCTCGTCAGGCGGTGCGCACAGGAGCAGGTTTGCTGACGTGAAGTGGATGAGTGTGCTGCACACATCAGCATCGCCCCTCAAAGCCAGGGCTTCGCAGCGCCCCAGCGCCAGCCTGGCCCTGACCACCACCTCCTGCCGCCCGTGTGCATGGTCAGCAGAGCTTTAGCACTCGGGTTTGCCTTCCTGCGGTAGAGCTCCTCGCTTGCCTGTCGGCCGTAAGCCTCCCCGCCCCCCCGCTGTCTCCAGTACCTGCTGAGGAGCCCAGTGCTGGCCGCGCCCAAGGCTGCCCCATGCAGGCCCTGGTGCAGACGGGCAGCCCAGCGCTGAGGGGGCACTGCGTGACCAGAGTGGCTTTACGCATGGTGGCGGTCTGACAGGGTCCCCAGAGCTGGCCTGGGCTGTGTGGCCACGTGCTTGGGCAGCAGGAGCACCTTTCGGAAGGTTCCCACTCTGGCCTCCTGGTACCCAGCTCAGCATGCTGCCCTCTTCATTCCTTGCCAACGAGACAGACAAAAAGCAAAGTTTCCTTGCCTGCTTGCTTGCTTTTCAGGGCGAAGTATTGAACCCAGGGCCTTCATGCTGAGCCACATCCCCAGACCTCTTACTGAGTTGCTAAGTTATCCAGGCTGGGCTCAAACCTATGATCCTCCTGCCTCAGCCTCCCAGGGTGCTGAAATTATGGGTGGCACCGATGCACCCAGCTTAAGCCTTGTCTAGGATCTTCTCCGTCTTCACTCCTGCCCCAGTGTCACCAGCTGCTCGCACCCTGCTGCGCTGTCTCTTCATGCCTTCACCATTTCCTGGAATACTGCTGGTCTTTCCTTCACTGGAAGAGATCCTTCTGGAATTAAGGGTGCCAGTAGTTTTTTGGGGCCATACATTAAGATACCTCTTTTTCTTTACTGTTTGCCATTCACTTGGATCTTACAACACTTTTTTCTGTTCAAAAGTTTTTTCATACTCATATGTACTCAGAAGTTTTCTATACTCAAATGTACAAGTACACTTTGGATTTGCTGTTAGCAAACATCATACTTCTCTAACCAGAGATGCTGTACATACTGACCTCTGTTTTCTTCTAGGACTTCTAGAGTTCCCTTTTACTTTTTTAGGTTTTTTGAGAGAGTCTGTGTAGCCCAAACTGGCCTCAAACTCACAGTGATCCTCCTGCCTCAGCCTCCCAAGTGCTAGGATTACAGGCATGTGCCACCATGCCTGGCTAAGCCTATTAAAAACTGCTTTTCCTTGGTTCCTTTTCATCTTTTCCCTTTTTTCTTTTTGTGTTTTTGCTGACTTCACACAGGAAATTAGGGAAATTTGGCAACATGAGTGCTAACCCTCTGTGTGCCTCTGTCCCTTGTGGGAGCCTGAGTCCCTTGGAAATGGGGAACAATGCCCCCCATCCGGTCCCTGCCTCTCACCCAGTGTGCTTTACTCACTCGCCCCAGGCCCCAGAAGCCCTGAGGGGAGGGGGGTGAAGCCTGTGCCGGCTGACAAGACCGTCGAGGTCCTGCCTGGCCGACTGTCCGGTGGGGGAGGCAGATGCGGGCACTGGGCACACAGGGCAGCCTCACTAGCCCTCTCTCCCTGGCAGGTCAACACATTCCAGACCATACTGATCACCAACGGCAAGGTCTCCTTCACCATCTTCAACTATGAGTCCATCACCTGGACCACAGGCACCCATGCCAGCAGTGGGGGTGATGCCACTGGCCTGGGGGGCATTGCAGCCCAGGTAGGCTGCTGGAGCCCTGCTCCCGCCTGCCAGCCCATCCTGAGCTGGGGGGTCACCTTAGGCAGAGCCCCTGGCCCTGTGCAGAGGACGGGATGAGATGCCTGGGGGTTTACCACTGCCTACACCACACAATGCCCACAGGCCTAAAGGCAGCTCCCTGCTGACCTGTCCCCGTGCCTGGGCCCCGGGCTGGTTACAGCTGCAGGCAGGCAGGAAGGCCTCACTTCATGTCACCCTGCTGCTCTCCCAGGGCTGCTCCTGCCTCTAGGCCCAAGGGAGGCCTAGAACCTGAGGAGGGCTGGTCAGGTCCTGGCTGGTGTACCCCAACGTCTGTAGGGCCCCACTGACAAGGCAATCTCCCACATCATCCTTGACCTCAGCCACCTGGGGACCCAAGGTTTTGGAACGGTGAGGAGACCCCACGCTCCCTTCCCCACCCCAGGCAGGCTTCAACGCAGGCGACGGGCAACGCTACTTCAGCATCCCTGGCTCGCGCACGGCAGACATGGCCGAGGTGGAGGCCACTACCAACGTGGGCGTGCCCGGGCGCTGGGCGTTCAGAATCGATGATGCCCAGGTGCGCGTGGGGGGCTGCGGCCATACAAGTAAGAGGATGGGCGCAAGGCTCCTCGGGAAGGGCAAGATGGGGGCGGGAGGAGGGTGGAGGCCAGGCCAGACCCGGGAGAGTCATGTTGGCCCTGGCCTGTCCCCTCAGAGAGGCCTGCCAGCCTCTGCTGGGTGTGCAGCTTGGGTGTGTGGATCTCTGGGTGCTCAAGGGAGGGTAGAGCAGGTCACCCTCTGCCCACCCCACAGGTCAGCCTCTGGGTCTCGGACACTGGGGGCTTGTGGCTTGCAGATGGCTCAGCATCACCTGCAGCAAGCAAGTGGTGGGATGGGACCTCAGTGCTGAGCCAGGCTGTCTCAGGATGTCCAGAGACCACCCAGCCACTTAAGAGGGCTGCTCACCGCCAGCCTGACCTAGTCTGGGCCACAGGGACCCAACTGCAAACAGCAAACAGCACTGGGGATCCCTAGACCAGACCTGGGGCCTGGGAGCCACAGAGGATGTATACACCAGCAGGGAGTCTCACCACAGTGCTGTAGCCTGTGCCTGCCGCACCAGAAAGAGGCCTGGCGAGCCCCAGGCTGCCCATACACTGGGGCACGAATCACCCCCAGCTTGAGTCTGAGCTTAGTGGGTAAGGGGCTCAAAGGGCAGAGAGTTCGCAACCTGAGAGCACAGAGCCACAAGGCCCCTGCAGCCAGCATCTGCTTAGCCTTCTGGTAGTGAGTGGTGGTGGCTAGGGCTGCTTTGCCTGGGGAGGTGAGGTCAGGGCACCTACCAGTGGCCAGAGTCTTGGGGTATGTGATTGAGGAGCAGAGTGTGGCATGGACAGGCTGTGTTCCCCGAATGAGCTGTAGGCTATGAGCCTGGGGACCCCATCCCAAAATGGAGGGCTTGACCCCATTCCCCAGCTCCAGTGCTCAGTTGCTGGGCACCAGTGCCCAGGAAGCAAGGCTGCTGAAGGGGCAACTTGTAAGCGCAGGTTGGCTGAGTGTCCCAAGCACTGGACGGCTGGTCCCAGGAGCCCTCCCTGGTGACAGCCATGCCATGAGGAACCTCAGCTTCGGTAGCAGAGTGCCAGCCTCCCATTTCCCGTACCAGAGGCCAGGCAGGTGGCCAAGCAGGCTGAGCTTCTGGAAGTGTCCATGGCTGAGCTGGGAAGGATGGGAGGGACAAGCAGGAACTGGGGGTGTAAGTGATTCCTGCTCCACAGGAAGCTAGAGTTGAGCTCGAGGTCCACCCCAGGTGGGCAGCATCCCGGCCACATTGGGCTCCCCCAAGCAGATCTAGGTAGTGACACCGTGACCTGTGCCACCCCCCAACAGGTGGCTGAAGGTTGGCCCTTTGGGCTGGGGAAGGAAAGGAGATGCAGCCACAGCGAGTGGTTGTGCTGCCCCGTCCTGGAGGCGGAGCGTGAGGCGCGGGCTCTTTCCTGTGCCCACAGCCTCCGTGTGCCTGGCCCTGCGCCCGTGCCTCAATGGCGGCAAGTGCATCGACGACTGTGTCACTGGCAACCCCTCCTACACCTGCTCGTGCCTTGCCGGCTTCACAGGGCGGAGGTGCCAGCTGGGTGAGTCGCTGGCCTGGGCCGGGACTGGGCACCCACAGAGGGACGCCATGGCCACACTGGGCTCAGGAGGAGCTGTAGGCACGGATGGTGGCCCTGGGGCCCCGGCTGAAGGGTGCCAGCCCCATGATGTGTGACTGCCCCTGTGGCAGTGAGCAGGGAGGGCAGACGCTGGCACCCTGGGCACCCGTCTGTCCCTGTGTCCTCCACTGAGGCCCCAGGCTGCCCATGTTTCAGACGTGAACGAATGCGCTTCACGCCCGTGTCAGAATGGTGGGACCTGCACACACGGTGTCAACAGCTTCAGCTGCCAGTGCCCAGCCGGCTTCAGGGGTCCCACCTGTGAGTCAGGTAAGAGGAACCCGCTAGCCCCATGGCCCTGCAGCTGTAGCACAGATGTGGAAGCCCAGAGAGCTCCGGGGGTGGGGCGGGAGCTGCCTGGGAGGGTTCGATGGGAAGGTGGCAGCTTGCTCCTGGGGCCAGAGGGGCAGCTGAGCGTGGACAGGCACAACTACATCTGGACACACTCTCGCCACTCCCAGCTGCTCCAGGGACAGGGTGTCAGGCCCGACTCTCCTTCTCTATCCCCACTGCACTTCCAAACTGCTGCTGGCCCTGCACCTTCAGGGCCCAGCTCCTTCGAAGCAGCTGCTGTGAGACTCAGCATCCATTTACCTGCCCTTCAGGGCCCCACCCTCACCTTGCCCACCTGGTGAGGAAAGGTGGCCCTGCCCCATCCCACAGCCTCGCCAGGTGGTGCTGCTTAGGGAGCTGGACCAAGGGAGCCTCTTAGAGTCCTGTGACCACCACTCCCCCAGCTCAGCCGGACGTGCATCCCCAAGCACTCTGACAAAGGTGGAACAATCATCGCATAAAAGTGTGTGCCTGGACAGACTGTAGATCAAGGGTTTTCAAATAGCCATATCAATATAAATATCTCAGTCTAGAAAACTACTGGAGACTCAGGGTCCTGGGAAGCCAAGTATTTGACTTCCGTGCAGAGACACATTTTCACTGGAAAGAATGCACTGAATGGCACATAGGTCTGCACATAGCAATGCACTGAGCTGAGGTTCTGCAGACACGCAGAACGGGACTTAGCTCAGGGTACACAGGGAGGAGGCGAGTGTGCGTCTAGCAGGAAGGGCTTGTGGTGTTTGCGGGCACAGCGCCAGTAGACTTGGTGACCCTCAGTTTGCCAGCACATTCCCAAGAGAGGTACTCTCCAGGCGGAAGCCTGGCCCTGCCGGCCTTCGGACCCCTCTGTGGGCCTGTGGGGACAAAGCACCCACGGTGGGACAGCAGTGGCAGAGCTGCCCAGGGGGCCCTGGTGTCCCCACCCTCCCTCTCAATGGCCGCTTCCTGTGTAGTGTGGCTGGGCGGACACGGGCCTACAAGGATGACCCTGAGGATGGCTGTGGAGCGTGCAGGAACCGCATGTTGAGGTTGCTCCTCCTTCCAGAAGCCCCACCCCCAGGAGTCTCAGCCTAGAGCAGGGGTCTGGCTCGAGGCCTTCTGCAGCTCAGGTCCACCCTCACCACAGGGTGAGGACTGGGCTCTAGCATCCCCCTAACTGGCAGAATTATACCCAGTTCAGTCCCACCTGTGCAGTGATCCAGCTGCACTGTGGTGGAGCACACAGAGGGTCCCCAAGGCCTCTGCCGTTGGACAGCACAGCCAAGAATCCAGGCTCTGTCCACTCTCCCTTACTTGCAGCCCAGTCCCTGTGTGACAGCAAAGAGTGTCAAAATGGCGGCCAGTGCCAGGGCGACAGCGGCTCTGCAGTGTGCGTGTGCCGCCCCGGCTACACAGGGGCCTCCTGCGAGACAGGTGAGTGGCTGTCCTGGGGACAGGTGCCAGGTAGCAGGGGACAGGGCTCAGAGCCCGGTTCCCACCAAGCCCCTACCTCTGCTGCCCCCAGACGTGGATGAGTGCAGCTCTGACCCGTGCCTAAATGGAGGAGCCTGCGTGGACCTGGCGGGGAACTACAGCTGTGTGTGTGCGGAGCCCTTTGCCGGACCTCACTGTGAGACAGGTAGCACCACACAGGTCGGCCACGGTGACCATGCTAGTGTGCAGCCACCGCCACAGGCCTCCCCTTCCCGCCTTGTGGGGCGCTGCCCTGGGGGCTCTGCCTGGCCTGCTTCCCAGCCCCCGGCCCTGCTGTGTGTGGCGCTGAGCCAGGCTCCCCGGTCTGAGCCCGGGTTTCCATCAGTGACCTGCAGGGAGAGGAGGCAGAACGCCCCATGCCCCTTCCGCTCAGAGACTGTGGGCTTCTAGGGCCTCCCTACCCCTGTACAAGAATGTGGGTCGGAAGGAAAACTGCTTTCACTGTGTGACAAAACCTCCCTCCTGCTCTGCTTCATAATGTTTAAACCCTGGCTAGGGCTTCTTGATCGGGGAAAAGCCGGCAGAGGTCAGAAAGCACAGTGCACAAGAGCACAGTGAAACCGTCCTCTCTGCCGCCGCCGCCGCCGCACCGGCTGCTGTGTGACTCCCTGGGCTGTTTAGGTTCATTCTGAGCCTTAGACTGAACTGAGGAGGACGCTTCTGCTGCAGGGCAGGCACCTGCGAGCCCTGACCCCCTCGGTCTGTCAGCAAGGAGCTATGAGGAGGGTGGAGCTCTGGGCCCTGCCGGGTGTCACAGCACACCTTCCCCAGGGGCTGTTTTCAGACCAGTGTATTTCACCAAATACTGGTCAAAAGCATATGAGTGCTTTCATAAGATTTTTGCATAGAAATCATGCTTTAGAGTAACTATGCAAGTGAAAATTAATAATAATAATAATATCAGAACAAGCCAGGTACAGGGGCACTTGCCTGCTCCCAGCGACTCAGGAGGCTGAGGCAGAAGAATCACTTGAGCATAGTAGTTCAAGGGCAGCTCGGGAAGCATAGGGAGACTCTCCAAAAACAAAAACAAGCTGGGCATGGCATATCCCTGTAATCCCATCTATTCGTGAGGCTGAGGCAGCAGGATTGCAAGTTCAAGTCAAACCAGGACAATTTAGCAAGACTCAGTCTAAGTGTAGGTAAGTGTAGGTCATCATTCCCTGGGTTCAGTCCCCAGTACCACCAAAAAAAAAGAGGCAGTAGGGGAAAAGGCCACATCACATGCCTCTATCCCAGCAAGACTGACAACAGAATGCTCATCAGAAGCCGTGCACACCAGGAGATGCTGGAGCAACGTCTTCAAAGCACTGAAGCAACACGAAGACCTGGAGTGCACCCAGCACCTAGCACAGCTGCCTTCAGAAGTTAGCTGAAGGAGTTTTCTTCCACAAAATCAAGAGCATTTATCTGCATTACTGTGCTGTAAAAAATGGTGAAATTCTTTAGCCTGAAGAAAAATGTTACCAATATGGATCTAATCCATGACCAAGTGTTAGAAATTACCAAATATGAGTAAGAAACTTTTGCTTTAAAAAACCTTTTAAAGATAAATTTAAAATAACTTTTATTTTAAAAATAAAGTGATAGCATGTGTAGAAATAAAATGCATATTTTTTCTGTAAGGGGTCAGATAATACTTTGAGCCTCGCAAGCCACACAGCTGCCCCGCTCTGAGCCAGCTGTAGACAGTACACAGATGAAGGGTGTGGCTGTGTCTCAATAAAACTTTATTGTTCATGGTAAATGGCAGGTGAGATTCCGTCTGTGGGCCATAGTTTGTCAACTTCTGGCATGAAAGACAGGAAGATATGAAAGAATAATATTGTAAAGTCTTCATATAAAGTTATAATATTGATTGAAGTGGTATAAGTAAAAGATAAACACTGTAAACCATAGAGCAACAATTAAAAACAATAAAGTTACATCCAATAAGCCAATTGTCAAGGTAGAATGGAATCATAAAACTATTCAATCCAGAGGCAAGAAAAGAAGACAAAAGCAACGAAGAAGCAGGACAAATAAAAACGAACAGCAAGATGATAGGTTCAGGCCATATCTGCAGCTACATTAAAATGTAGAAAGATTAAGCACAGCAGTTGAAAGGCAGAGTTTAAAGAAACCCACTCTACATACAAAGGTGCAGCTCACTTGAAAGCAACAGCCAGGTTCTGGTGAGACAGAGGAGGCGTGCGGCACCTGTCTTCACTGGACGCAGCTGTAAGGCCTGGACAGATGTGGACTCTGGAAAGTAAATAGAAACAGACGGGGGAAGATGTACCTTGAAGAGCCACCAGGCTAATGGTCAGTTTATCATTTTTTGCTCTGGTGTCCTCTCTGCCTGGACTCAGAGCCACCAGAGACCAGAACTGAACCACAGCATGACAAGCCCAGGAGAAGGTCCAGGCCAGGCTCGGGCACCAGGACCCGCAGGAGAGGGCACCTTCCTCTGCAGTTGGAGGGGCTGTGGTTTTCGGAGGGGCAGGGATAAACTCCTGTGTTTTTCCTCTTTCCCCACTCTCCTCCTGTTTGCGCAGCCATGAGTACAACCACCAGAAGCAAGTGGCAGGGTGAGGCAGTTGAAGCCCCAGAGGACCAGAAAGGGGAGCCCCAGAGAGCCTCTGGGCATGGTAGAGAGGGTAGTTTTGGGAGAGAAACTCCAGAAGGTTACTTATGAACTCTCTAGCTGCCCCAGCCAGGTATGTGCAATCTGATTCAAGGTTTTAAAGAAAGTAGCATTTGTAATAGCTCCCAAAGGTGGAAGATCTAGACATGAATTTAGTATAACATGTGCAGAGTTGGCATGCTGAAAACTAGAAAATGCTAGTGAAGAAACCAGACATCTAAGTAAATGGACAGACATACCATATTCATGGAAAAGAAGACTCAACCTAGTAAATAGGTCAGTTGTCCCTAGATTGATTAATGAATTTAAAGTGATTCCAACCAAAATATCATCAGGATTTCCTTTGCAGATATAGACAAGTTGACTCTAAAATTTATGTGGAAAGGAAAAGGACTTTGAATAGCCAAAGCAATTTTGTAAAAGAATCAATGTTGGGAAATCACACTACTGGGTATTAAGATTTGGTATAAAGCTACAGTGATGGAGACCACGTGTTACTGCCAAAGGATTCCCTATGTAGATCAGTGGGACAGGGGAGAGAATCTGAATTAGACTAAGTATTGCTGCACATTGCTCAACTGGATCTCAGAGGCATTGCACTGTCGGAAAGAAGTCAGTCTCCAAAGATTACACTCCACACGTTGTTACTTGGTTTTCCATCGCTGTGACAGAGTACCTGAGATCAGCATACAAGGAAGAAAGATTTGTTTCGGCTCACAGTTTCAGAGGTCTCAGTCCATGGTCATTTGGCCCTGTGGTCTTTGGGCCAATGGCAAGGCAGAGCATCATGGCAAGGGATGTGGCAGACAGAAGCTCCTCCCCTCCTGGAGGCCAGGAAGCAAAGAGAAAAAGGAAGGAGCCACGTCCCAGTGTGTCCTGAGCACACACCCCCAGTGACTGCCTCCTACCCCAGGCCCCCTTCCTAAGTTTCCAACACCTCCAACAATGCCATCAGCTGAGGACCATGCTTTCAGCACAGGAGCTTTTGTGAGATACATAAGATCAAACCCTCACCATGCAGTTCCACTTACGGGGCCTCTTTGAAAAGGCAACACCATGAGCTAGGCGTGGTGATGCACAACCTGTAATCCTAGCACTCAGGAGGCTGAGGCAGGAGGATCGAGTGAGTTTGAGGCTAGCCTGGGCTACATAGTGAGTTCAAAGCCAGTTTGAACTACTTAGCAAGATACTGTCTCAAAAAAAAAAAAAAAGGGCAGCACCATGGTGACAAGCAGGCCAGTAGCTGAGGGTTCAGGGGTGCAGGAGTCTGGGACTATGAAGAAAGAGGACATGGGGGGCTCTGGGGTCATGAGATGACTCTGGGCAGGGCTCTACATACCTACCCACGAGCTAAAAGTCACAACTGTGCACCAAAGTCAGTTATACTGCATGTTGATTTGCAAAGATAAATTTTGAAAGTACATAAAAATTTTAAAAGAGAAGCATTAGCAAGCACGAATCAAGAGACGGCTGGATTGGCTGCTTTCGTATCAGATAACATGGACTCTAGAGCAAGGAGTGCTAGCAGGAGGGAAGAGGAGCTGTTTACACGCCAAGGGGTTAGTACGTCAGGACGCGCTCTGCACCCATCCCTCCTCATACCTACCAACACTGTCACAGTATGTGGGGCAGGTGCTGCCAGACTGCAAGGAGAAACAGGCGTGTCTATATTTAAGGTGAAGACTGCAGTAATTCATAGAACATACAGAAACTCAGTAAGGCTTACACTTAAACGTGCCTAACAGACATTTAAAGAGTGTTAAACATTCAAGTGCTCATGGAGCATCACAGTGATGGGCCATACTGTGCACCATAAAACAAGACAGCGCTGGGAGGCTGAGGCAGGAGAATCTAAACTGGAGCCCAGTCTGGGCAACTTAGTGAGACCCTGTCTCAAAATATTAAAGCAGAGCTGGGGATGTAGCTCAGCATGAAAACCTTGGGTTCAATTGTAAGCAGCACAATTAATCAATCGATCAATAAGGCTCAGTAGCTAAAGCAGACTGTTTCTTGACCACAGTGAAGTAAAATTAGCCATCAGCAGAAAGGTACCTGGAAACCTCTGATGCTGTGCCAGTAGGACTGTCTGGAGGCCCCAGATTGGCTGGGCTCCTGGACTGCTGGTTCTTTCCAAGGAAGGAACATAGGAGCTGGGCTTCAGGGGCAGAGCAGGTATAAGTCAGCTTCCGGGAAAACCTCTGGCTTGACTTGTGCCCAGCACTGAGAACGGAGATGGACACACAACAGGGGCAAGAACTAGGCAGCTCCCTCCCCCGCCCAGGTTCAGACTCTTCCTCCCTGCCACCCCCATGCCCACTGGTGACTGCTCTCCTTCTTGCAGGAAGCCGCCCACTGCCGGACGCCTGCTTCTCAGCACCTTGCGAGAACGGGGGCACATGTGTGGATGCAGACCAGGGCTACGTGTGCGAGTGCCCTGAAGGCTTCATGGGCCTGGACTGCAAGGAGAGTGCGTCGGGACTGCCGGCCCGTGTCCCTGGGTGGGGCAGGAGACCCGAGGCCTGCATGTGGCCGCAGAGCCTGGGAGGGTGCTCTTGTGGGCTGTGCACGCAGGAAACCCACTAGGGAAAGTGTTCAGAGTATTGTGTGTGTGCACTGTTGCTTTTACAGGAGGGTGGCCAGAATCAGGCAGGGTTGGAGAGGGGCCTCTCTTCCTGCACCCCCACATGGGAGACATCCCCTCTACCCCGTGGCAGGAACCCACAACGACTGTGAGTGCCGCAATGGAGGCAGATGCCTGGGTGCCAACACTACCCTCTGCCAGTGCCCCCCAGGCTTCTTTGGGCTCCTCTGTGAATTTGGTAGGTGTCCGAGGCTGGGGGAGTGGGCACCTGCCTGTCCTGTCCTTGAGTGTCCCCATAATCAGAGTATGAATGGTTCAGACCCTTGACCCCCACCCCACCTGGGCGGGTGGCCCCAGGAGTGCCCCATCCGTCACCCTGGTGGGAGCACTGGGCCTTGGGCCACCCGCCTTGCCAAGCACACAAGATCGCCAGGAAGAGGAGCAGGAGACAAGGGAGGGCTTCCTCCTGTCCTGCAGAGGTCACAGCCACACCTTGCAACATGAACACCCAGTGCCCGGACGGGGGCTACTGCATGGAGTACAGTGGGAGCTACCTGTGTGTCTGCCACACAGATCACAACATCAGCCACTGTGAGTGGCTGGGGACCCCGCGGGGATCAGGGCTGGGAGGCCTGGCAGAGAAAGGCAGTGAGGCAGGCATCCTGGTGACTCCAGAGGACCTGCAGGTGGAGGGGCCTCTGGCTGCAGGTGCACCTGTAAGGTGGGAGGGATGTTGGGGGTCCCAGGTAGGACAGCACTTCAACCAGGCCACCAGCATGACAGGCCCTCTTCCCTCAACCCTTCCCCAGCTGTTACTTAGTGCATACCTAAGTGCATTGCTTCTGCTACTGCATATTTGTTAGTGTAAAGACGATCACATATGTGATGTGTAATTCTATATAACGACGCTGACAGCTGTAAGACATATGTCATAGATCAGTGGTGCATTCTGCTAAAATCAGGAGTCAGATACTCCAGGAGGGGCCTTAGAGCTCTTGTGAGGAATCAAGACGTCCTGGAAGTGTATTTTAAGTGGTGTGTTCCAGACAGCCTGTCTGGGTGACCCCGCGGGCACATGCTCCAGAACCACCTCTGCCTCCCTCAGCCCTGCCATCCCCCTGCGACTCGGACCCTTGCTTCAACGGAGGCTCCTGTGACGCCCACGACGACTCCTACACGTGCGAGTGCCCGCGCGGGTTCCACGGCAGGCACTGCGAGAAAGGTGCGCGAGAAAGGGGCGCTGGCAGGGTGGGGCACGCGGAGTCTGGAACGGCGAGGGCTGCTGGGCGGGGCAGGGAGCTCCTGCGGGGGTGGGCGGGTGGCTGGGGGCTCTTGAGCCGGGAGGGGCGGGGCCCGGCGTCGGCACCATGGACAGCGCCCGCCGCCCGCGCAAGGCCCTCTCTGGTTTTTTATTCCATTGTTTGCGGTGCTGTTGTGTTCTATTCCACTTATTCAGGGCAGCGCCCCACAGACTTAACTATTGTTTTCGTCCCCAATTCTGTTTTTGTTTTGTTTTTGTTTTGTTTTTCTTTTTTTTGGTTTTTTTTTTTTTTTTTTTTTTGGTCTTTTTGCAACAGAGTCTTGTTATGCAGTTCAGGCTGGCCTTGAGCTCGCTTTGTAAACCAGGTGGGCCTCGAACTCACAGTGATCCTTCTGCCTCAGCCTCCCGAGTGCTGGGATTACAGGCGTGCTCTACCACGCCTGGTTCATCCCCTATTCCTTACAACAGGCTTCATTTTGGGCTCAGCATTTTCCCAGATTTTAGAATCATGACATGGAATTAAAAGAGAAAAACTAACTTCATAAGGATTTTGTTAAATCTAATTCAGTGTGGAGAATATATATTTTACAATGCTTGACCACTCAGGGTGTATTCTTCTGCAAGTACATGGCAAGCATATTGTCTTGGCCCAGGCCGGCCCAGCCCGGGACTGGCTTACAGGCAGCTGGAAGACATGCTTAGTAGCCCTGAGGCCTGTGCTCCTGGCTCAGGGCCCTTGCTGGGCAGTCCCTCAGCCCTGGGGAAAGTCAGGACCACTTGGGCCTCACCTAGGAGCCTGCCCACAGCCTCTCTCTTCCTAACAAGGGCTGACAATGACTTCTGAGAACCCGTGGCTTCCCCCAGCACAGTATAAGAGAGGGGTTCCAAAGTTCTCGAAAGCAGAGCAGATAGAGCCACCAGCGTGGCCACCTCTGAGCCCAAACAGGGACGCACAGAGGCCGCAAGAAGCTGCTCTTAGGGTGGGGCCACTGGAGCTTCGACGTGCAGCCTGTGAGGCCCTTGGGGATGGGGAAGGCGAGAGGGTGAGCACAGCGTGGGGAAACAGGCCCTCCTGCTGCTGCACCCGCACTCCCTGATCAAGGAGTCCCAGCACTCTGACCTCCTTGCTGGCCCAAGAAGGTGGGATTTGTCAAACGGGGACAGATGTGTCTGATGTTGAAACTGCCACAGGGTTCACACTTTAAGTAAGTGGCTGCCCCACAGCACCTGAGCTCCTCGGGCACAGGAAATGCTAGGACCCAAAGATGTACCTGTGCCAACACAAGTGCAGGAAGGATGAAGCCTGCATTGACTGCTGTGGATGCTGATGTCAGCTGCGGCTCGGCACCCTGTGGTCAAATGCCTGGCACCGTGGCAGGAAGGAGGAGCACTCGTGCAGTTCTCCTCCAGGAAAGCCAGCTCTGCTTGGAGTCTAGGGCAGAGAAGAGAACACCAGAGGCCGAGTAGGAGTCTGCAGACTGCAACCCCCATCGCAGGCACCTTCTGGGGTGGTCTCTGCTGCACTGGGCCTTGGGCTCCGTCAGAAGCAGGCCTGGCCTGCTGGGCCTGCCCAATGCCAGGGGTCTAAGATGACACAAGCAGGCTGATGTGGCCAGCATTCACCCACACCCTTCTGTCCTTCACACAGCCCGGCCACACCTGTGCAGCTCGGGGCCCTGCCGGAACGGGGGCACGTGCAAGGAGGCAGGTGGCGAGTACCACTGCAGCTGCCCCTACCGCTTCACCGGGAGGCACTGTGAGATCGGTGCGGGCCTAGGGTGGCAGGGGGATGACTGGCAAGGCCTGAGCTGTGCGCGAGCCAGTGGTAGTGTGGGGGAGGGCAAGCCCTGACCTTCACCCTGACCACCCTCAGCCTGACCCTCAGCCTGACCACCATGCAACTGCTTGTCACGAAGGCTCTCAGCGTGGGGCGTTGGGGAGTTGGGGGGCAGCAGACTGTGGCATCTAAACCTGCTGGGTATCTTTTGCTTTCAGGGAAGCCAGACTCATGCGCCTCAGGCCCCTGTCACAATGGCGGCACCTGCTTCCACTACATCGGCAAATACAAGTGTGACTGTCCCCCAGGCTTCTCTGGACGGCACTGCGAAATAGGTAGGCTCCAGGCACCAGGGATGCGTGAGAGAGGCCGCTTACGCAGAGCTGGGCCAGGCCTGCAGGGCAGGAGGCAGGACGCCCCATCGTGACAGGGACCCTCTTGTATTCCTGCAGTCCCATCCCCCTGCTTCCGGAGCCCATGTTTGAATGGGGGCACCTGTGAGGATCTGGGCACAGATTTCTCCTGTCACTGCCAAGTAGGGTACACAGGGCGCTGGTGCCAGGCAGGTGAGAGACCTGGGGGGTGGGCTGGGGACATAGGTTTTCTTCCTGATTCCCCAAGAGCAGGGCAGGGCAGGGGTGGGAAGAAAGGAAGACTCAGATGTGCCCAGCTCCCTGAAGTCCAGCACCTTACCCCCACGGGCCGTAGCGGGAGCTGGCTTCCTGGGCCCTGCAGCTGGGTCAGGCAGAGGAACGGGCAGAGCTTGGACAGGGCCCTCAGCTAAGACAGGCTTCTGCCCCTTCACAGAGGTGGACTGCGGCCAGCCTGAGGAAGTGAGACATGCCTCCGTGCGCTTCAATGGGACTCGCATGGGCTCTGTGGCCCTGTACGTGTGTGACCACGGCTACAGCCTGAATGCCCCTAGCCACTTCCGCATCTGCCAGCCACAGGGTGTCTGGAGCCAACCTCCTCAGTGTCTCGGTGATTCTGTGGGCCCTCACGGGTCGGGTGGGCAGGGCCAGCATGCACTGTGTCACCCAGAGGAGCAGAGGGCTGGGCCCTCAGTGAGTCAGGCTGAAGATTCTGTGGTGACGTGGTGACCATGTCAGCTTGGCTCTGGACCGTTCTCACTAGGGCTTCCCTGTCTTCAGAGCAGCCCAGTGCAGGGGCCAACACTTTGTAGATGAAGCTGAGATCATGATGTTACCCATGGGCAGAGTCCTAAACGGACAGATTTGGGCCCAGGGTCGTCTGCTACTCCTGCCCCCACCAGCCTATGGAACCAGAATCTGCACTTGCTCAGGACACCCACAACAGCACGGGAGGGCACTGCTCCTGAGAGCCGCCCAGGGCTGACCAGAGCTGGGGTGCATGCCTGGCCCAATGCCCTGGAGATGGGGCCCTTAACTCCAGGGCAGGCGCATTACAATAAGGCAAAGCGTGTACACTGTGCTCATCGGAAAGCTGTGTGACATTCATGCAGGTTTTAGAAAAGTATTTTTAACAAGCTTAGGGGTGGGATGACAGCATCCAGAGATAAATGAGACACATAGTGCTCTGCTGTCCCCAAATGTCTGCAAAGCCCTGCCCGCCTGTCAGCCCTGCCCTGTGAAAGCTGCAAGGTTCTGGGATGGGGGACCTTCTGCCCAAAGCATCTGTCCTTTCCTGTCTTTCCACGCGCCAGGGCTCATGCAAGCTGTCAGGAGCCCACCCCTTTAAGTGCTGCTTCTCCCAGCCATTGCCAGGCAAGATGACCGTTTGCTCAGAGAACAGAAGCACACCAGCAAGACATCCAGGCCCCTGAGAAGCACAGCCATCTTGGAGAGGAATCTGAAGTCCAGGCAGCAGCCATCGTTGGAGACAGAAGCATAGGAGAGGGACCAGCACCGCAGAGCGACACACACATTTCATGTTCTACATCCTCACATCCTGCCACACGGTGGCAGACATATAAAAGTGAACATCATGTTGCCCATACAAAAAAAGGATCAATATTTTTTAAGAACTACGACGGTTGAAATAACAAGCGTACTGTGTGAGTGGATAGTGATGAGAGGAAAGCAGCGGCGCTATGGAGATGGAGTTGCTGTGGGCACACCAAGATGAAGGCGCAAAGAACAGAGAGCAGACGCAAGGACAGAAGTTCTGGGCAGCTGTTGAGTTCAGCTCCAAAGTGACCGATGAATGGGGGGTCAGAGGGGCCCTAAGAACCCCAAACAGAAGAAAAGGGAAACGGTGTAGTAAAATGTAAGGATGTCATGGAGTAATACAGAAAGAAATCTTAACAGCCAGAGGGAAAAACATCACCTACCAAGGAACAAGAATCAGACTGGCATCAGACTTCTCGACAGCAACCTCACTGTCAGATGACAGAGGATGCTTTGAAATAAGAGGAGACCCACTGGGTTAGGGTGGAGATGGTCGCTTTCACCATGACATCTAGGAAAGCCCATGAGGCCTAAGGGATCCCATCGTTAATCCACCAGAGGGCTGAGCATTCAGGAAGTTCAGGCAGGCCTCTCCTAGGTGAGAAAGGGCTGGTGGTGTGTTCATCCCTAGGCCCCAGGCCAGCAAGGGCCAGTGCCTGGAGGCTCCAGAGAAATCCAAGCACGCTGTGAATGCTGTGTGGTATGCACACCGACTGGGCTGCCATGGTGCAGACCAAGCACTGAGCTGAGCACCCAGGTTCTGCCCCAGGGTTGCTATGAGCGCAGTGGCACCAGGGGCAGCCTGGAAAGCGGAGGTTTCATCATCTCCCAAGGCAGAGACCGCAACTTCAGCTGGAGGCAGAGGCTCCCCCAGCACTCAAGTGCAAACTGGAGCCACAGGTGGTGCCCAGCCCGGCCAGCTCCGCTCCTAGCAGCATCAGCAGAGCCGCCGCTCAGCCAGCTGCCTGACGGAGGACAAGGCCCACGTGCCCGGAGAAGGGAGACTCTGGTCTCTACTCTCCTGGACACTCCGTGTCTGAGAAGCATGAGGTTATGACGCAAAATCCAGAAAATAAAGAGTCTGCAGAAACAGGCCTGCATCTGCCCAGCGCTGGAATTTGCAGGCAAGGACTTTAAAATGCCATTATAAATTGTTATAGAAAGCAGAGGAATTGAGGAAAAAATGGACAAGATTACTGAGAATGTGAGAAGCAAGGAAGTTTTAAAAGTAGCAAAACAGAGCTTGGGGTGTAGCTCAGAAATAGGACGCTTGCCAGGCACACTCAAAGCCCTGGATTTGATCCCCAGCACTGGGAAGAGGAAGAAAAAAGGGAGATGAGAACAAGGAGGAGAAAAAAATAGAGATTCTAGAACTGAAAATAAAACATTTGAAATGAATAAATTAGATAGGCTTAGCAAGAGAAAAATTCATAGAACTCAGGACAATATAATTATCTAAACCACAGATAAAAGAGAAAAATTAACTTTAAGATGAGTTATTAACTATGAAAAAATGAATTTAAAAATAGGATAGATATCAGGTATCTGTGGGACAATATCAAATAAGCCCAGAAATATAAGACAGAATGGGCAAAAGAAATATTTGAAGAGATAATTACTGAACATTTTCTAAAAAAGAAATACTCCACATCAATCTGTAGATCCAAGAAGCTCAGCAAACCCCTAAACAGGACAAATATTGTAGTAAACAAAGTTAAGACCTAAAAATGTATATCAGTCAGGTGTTATTCAAATGTGAAAGATAATAAACATATTCTCATGCAAACAGCCTCGGAGGCTTAGCAGAAAAAGTCCTTGTTTTGGCAGAATACTTAAATCATAAGAAATCCAGGCAAGAGAAAGAAGAGTTATTACATATTGGCAAAGCTTATCCCTATCCAAAAGGAAAGTAGGCAATCGGGGGAAATGGCACATATGAAGACTAAAAAGAATTACGGAGCCATGGTGGTGGTACACCCCGTAATCCCAGCACTTGGAGGCTGACTCAGGAGGATCACTTTGAGTTTGAGACCAGCCTAGGCTACCTAGTGAGTTAAAGGACAGCTTGAACTACATTGTAAGACCTTGTCTCAAAAAAAAAGACAGGAGCTAGGGATATAACTCAGTGGCACAGCGCCTGCCCGGCAAGCACGAGGTCATGAATTAGATTCCCAGTACCAAAAAAAATAAAATAAAATAAAAATAAATTATGGTAGAAAAAGCACAGACAAATATGAATATACTAAACTCTCTAGGTAAGACGTTATCAGACTTGCTACAAACAAAGCAAGCTATATGCTGCTACAAGAGATACTCTGAAAACATAAGGACCAAAAGTAAAAATCAAGAACAAGTATCAGGGGAACAAAAATCAGAAAGCTGGAACACCAGCACCACTGTCAGAAAAACTAGGCTGCCATTAAGAGCAGCAACAGAGGGAGACAGCACCGCAATGAACACCCAGCCCTGGACACAGCAGTCCTGACAGCCACGCAGCAAAGTCCTAGCTATGGGAGAGTCCGAATCCACCAGAGCACCAAGAGGTTCTGGCCCCCTGTCTCAGTTAGCGGCAGGTTAAGGAAGGAAACGAAATCAGCAAGATGAAGATTTGAACAACACACTCAACAGCTTGAGCTAAAGCATTCTGTCTGAACAGGAAAAGATGTGAGTAATAACAAGAAGGCACGTTTTAAAATCTTTATGGAGACTGGAGATACTTTAAAAGCTGTTTTGAAATAGCTCATGAGTCAAAGGAGAAATCATAAGGGATGCTGAAAATTTTTAAATGATTAACAGTGGGTAGTTAATGTATCAAAACTTGTGTAGTCCAGCAGAAGGAGGGTTTCCTGGGAAATGAACAGCCTCAATATCCACAAAGCTCAGAATCCATAAACTAAATGTCTTACTTCAGAAGTTAGGATAAAAATAACAAATGATACTATTGAAAGTAGAAGAAAAGAGGCAATAAGGGTAAAAGCCACAACTAATGAAACAGAAACCAAAGATACCAAAGAGAAGATAAAGCTCCTGTCTTTGAAAAGTCTAATAAGATATTCAAGTCCCGCAAGGACTGAGCAAGGAAAATAGCACAAATAAAAACCCTTACCAATTAAAATGATGCTGTAACCACATACACAGCAGATTAAAAACATAGTAAGGAAATGCTATCAGCTACACTATGCAAATAAACTTTAAGTCTTAGAAGAGATGGACATGATATTCATAGAAAAATACGGCTTAAGAAAAGTGACTCAAGGAAATGTAGAACGCCTGCATATCCTAGCACTGTTTAAGGACATTAAAGCAGTAGTTAAGCGTTTTCCCATAAAGAAAAGTGGGCCCAAATATTTTTTTTCTTTTCTTCCATGCCAGGGATTAAACCCCGGGCCTCCGCACACTTGGCAAGGGCTCCACCACTGAGCTATATACCCTGTCCTTTGGGAATTATTTTTGTTTTATTTTGAGACAGGGTCTTATTAAGTTGCCCAGGCTGGCCTTGAACTTGCAGTTATGCTGCCTCTGGAGTAGCTGGGATTACAGGTGTGAGCCACCATACCCAGCTTATTTTATGGGTGAATTCTACCCAATGCCAAGAAGCAGGTCTTGTAGTATTTTACAGATTCTTCGAGAGAGCAGAAAATCAATATGTGTCAATGCAGCCTATGTGTTTAAGAAAGGAATAATATCAACCTTACATAAGCTCTCTTGGAAAACAGGAGGGAGAGCTACTTCTACACTCACTTGATGTAGTACTGCGTTGATACCCAGTCTGGCTCTGATACCCAAGGAAGATGGAGACATTACAAAAGTTAAAATTATAAGCTAATACTACGGTTATAGACACAAAAACTCTTAACAGTTACTACATCAAACCCAGTATTGCACAGAAAGGATAACATAGTCGCAACCAGGTGGGAGTTAGCTCAAGAACACTAGTTGGCCCAACATTTGAAAAGTAAGCAATGTACATTACAGTACTTCACCATACTGAGATGGAGAAAACTGTATGATACTTCAGTTGATACAGAAAAAGCATGTGAGAAAATTTAACTTTATTTAAAATTCTTAATGAACTAAGAGTAGAGGTATTTTCCCCAGTCTGATAAAGGACATCCATAAAAATGCACCACTAACAAAAGTCAGTGCTGAAAGCCTTTGCCTTGTGATGAGAACCAGGCACAGTGTCCGTTGCCCTCATCCTTCTCAGCATCTTCCTGGGGGCCCTGGATAGCGGGATGATGTGGAAACGGCGGGTGTGGCTACTGAAGGCAGAGAGGGCCATGACTCATCTCATCTACAGAGACATTTGACTATATAAAGATTAGGAGCTTAAATCCCTAACTCCTGAAGAAGAAAGTGAAATACAAGCTAGAACCTGGAATTCTGCTGTGTATATATGTGTATACGTGTATACATGTGGGTATGTGTAAATATATATATATGTCTATATGTGTTTATATGAGACTGATTATAAAACTACAAGAACACTAATGAATCAGTAAAAAAAAAAATAATAACCCAGTAGGAAAATAGGCAAAACATGAACAGGTTGTCCATGGAAGAAGACATACATAAGACCACTGAAATAAAAAGAAATAGTCTACTTCATTAGTAATTAGGTACATACCAGTCAAAAAAGAAGAGTGAGGTACATTTGGTTGGCAAAATTCCATCATCTAAACGGCCTGCGTGGGTGAAGGTCCACAGGAGCTCTTAGAGACTGCTGGTGGGAGTGGCACTTGGTGCAAGCACTTTGAAATGATTTGGTAACTTCCCTGTGCAGTTCACCATCAGCACAGCCTGAGTCCCAGCAGTTCCACTTCTAGGAACAGCTAAGTAAAGCCTGCACATCCACACTAGCAGATGTGAAAGCACATTCACGGTAGCACCTTCTGTGATATCCAGCACCGTATGTAGAACCAACACAGTGCCCAGCAGACAAGAAGGCATGACGTGCTCACCACGGATTATATAGCAGCGAACATCGCCAAGTGCTGGGACCCCAAACAACACAGCCTTCTCTTAGTAATAAAGTGTTAAGTGGAAGAGAGCATGTATTGTGATATTCTATTAATAAAACTCATAAACAGCAAAAGCAGTACCATATACTGGATAGGCAATTTATAAAATTTAAAAACCTAACTTTAAAAAGGCAAAGATGAAATAACTACAGAAATTGGTATCCCAGAGGGGCAGAGCCCTGAGCAGATGAGCACCTAATATTCAGGCTCCAGGGTGGGTGGGGGTCATTACCATTCATTCGTTACTTCCTGGACACTGCAGTTAGCCATTTAGTTTTGGGGGGTTTTGGTTGTTTTTTTTTTTTTTTTGCTACTGGGACTTGAACTCAGGACCTTGTGCTGGCTAGGCAGGCACTTGTGCCACTAAGCTATATCCCCAGCCCTGCAGTTAGACATTTAAACTCAGGAGCACAATGCCTGGTTTAAAAGAAATCTATGGTGCATCTTTTAAAACTATCAGTTAGTCCCACAAATGTACTATTTTCCCACAGCTGTTAGTGATAGAAATGGCAAGATCAGGCACAAGACATTCCTGCCAAACCCTCTGGGCCTGTCTACCTGATGGTGTGGGTGGGTGTTAAATCCCACTGTTTTCTGAGAGGCTGGAGGTGATCATGAGTGTCCAGGGCCTTTAACAGACCAGGCCATGCCCAGCCCCTGGGACCATATCCCCACCTCCCCGCAAGAGTGTCCATCCCTGGATGTGGCCTTCCAGAGGACCAAGGGGATGGTGTGGACTCTGACTCCTCAGACCTCATTTATACTCATCCTAGTAACTGCCACGCGGCTTTATTCTTGGGTCTCTCCTCTCTCCCAGAAGTGGACAAGTGCCAGTCTCAGCCTTGCCTGAATGGGGGCTCCTGCCAGAGTCAAGCTGCTGGGTACCAGTGTCTCTGCAGTGCAGGGTACGAGGGAGCCCGCTGCGAGCTGGGTAAGAGTAAGAGGGCTGGCCCACTGGGGTGGCAGCTGAAGACGTGGGCCCCTGGCCATGGCCACCTTGCCAGCCACTCTTTCCCCTGGACAGCACTGTCTTGTCCCTCAAGCTGCTGCCAGCTTTGCTGTCTGGGACAGAGATTTACAAACATCTCTGCCTTCTTCTGCCCTGGAGACTGAGCCCAGCTGAAAAACTCTGACCAGGGAGGTGGGCAGGTCTCAGGACTGCCCGCCAGTAGAGCGGGGAGGCCTGCTCAGTGTGTGGCTGATGGATGGGCCCCTCACCCCCGGGGCCTATGTGTATAGCTTGCACTCTGAGTCAGAGATGCTGCCTCAGAAAGGAGCTTAGAACTGTGTCCAGGAGAGCCTGGGGTGGGGGTTGTGCTAGCAGACAGTGCAGGGGTGTCCACAAGGACCCAGGTGGGGCTGTTGGAGGGGAAGGCCGAGGCCCAGCGTGCCAGCCCCAGGCCAAATTCTCAGGGCCACAGACTCCTGGGGACATGCAGAGGTTCTTGTTGTGCAGACATGGACGAGTGCCAGGCACAGCCTTGCAGAAACGGGGGCTCCTGCAGGGACCTCCCGGGGGCTTTCATCTGCCAGTGCCTCACAGGCTTCGTTGGAGTCCACTGTGAGACAGGTAGGGCTCCCCTTGATGTGTGATGTGTCCCCATGTGCAGAACCCAAGCCATGGACAGTCAGGGAGAGGGACACCCAGGATGGTGGCTGCCTCGGGAGGAGGGAAGTTGCCCACCCCGTCCAGCCTCTGCTCCTCGCTGCCCTGTCCCTTCTTCTGCTGTCCTGCCTCCCTCTCCCAGAATCCCCCACCCAGCTCGAGCCAACTGTCTGGCTGTTCTCCAGAGGTAGATGCTTGTGACTCCAGCCCCTGCCTGCATGGAGGCCGCTGTGAGAACGGCGGTGGGGCCTACCTGTGTGTCTGCCCGGAGGGCTTCTTCGGCTATCACTGTGAGACAGGTAGGGGCAGCGGGTTCTCTCTAAAGGCTGCTCCTTGAGGACTATGGTCCTTCCTCTGGTCCCCTTGGTGCCTCTGAGCCTGCTGCACTTCCTCCCCAGAGACCCCACCTCACCCCAGCTCATGCCCAGGCCACGCCTCATGTCACAGGACAGGCCACGCTCCTTGCAGCCCCACGTCCCACGGTCTCCATCCTTCTGCAGCCTGTGTGGGGACCCTCCAAGCAGGGCCTTTCCTGGCCACTCACCCATCCCTCTAGAGTTCCCTGGAGCACTCCAGTTGCCCTGGAACTGCCTCTTCCCACCAGAGTCCCCTTCCTAGGACGGGAGCCATGGGGTGGGAACCTAGCATGCGATAAGGCTGTGTTAGAGCACAGGCACCATGATGGTGCTATCCCATGCTCATCAGGCAGGAAAGACCCCACTGAAACCCCACATTCACTGCTCCCCCAACAGTGAGTGACCCCTGCTTCTCTAGCCCCTGTGGGGGCCGAGGCTACTGCCTAGCCAGCAACGGGTCCCACAGTTGCACCTGCAAGGTGGGCTACACAGGCAAGGACTGCGGCACAGGTGAGCCGGTGGGTCACCCATGGGGAGGGAGAGGCAGCTGGGATGGATGACTCTCCTTCCCTGGGGGGCTGCCCAAGAGTGGTCCCCAGGGTCAGGGCACAGGCAGTGCTGATGCAGGCAGGAGGAGTGCACCAACACAGCCAGGGTGCAGAGGCAGGAGCCTCCAGGGGGGGCTTGTGGAGGTCCAAGGAAAGGAACCCGGGTGAGGAGAGGGCTCCCAGCCAGCAGCAGCCCACTGCCCAACCCCAGGGACCAGAGGAGGCACCAATGGGCTGGGCTCTCCAGCGGGCAGCTGACCGTGCCCTTCCCTTGTGTCCTGGCCGGAACCCTGAAGAGCTCCTCCCACCAACGGCCCTCAGGGTGGACAGAGTGGAGGAGAGTGGGGTCTCTATCTCCTGGAGCCCCCCCGACAGCCCCACCGCTAGGCAAGTGCTGGATGGTTATGCAGTCACTTACGTCTCCTCCGATGGCTCCTACCGCCGCACGGACTTTGTGGACAGGAGCCGCGCCTCACACCAGCTGCGGGCCCTGGCACCGGGCCGGGCCTACAATATCTCCGTCTTCTCGGTCAAACGCAATACCAACAACAAGAATGACATCAGCCGGCCAGCAGCGCTGCTCGCCCGCACACGTGAGCCGCACCACCCTTGGGGCGGGGCCCTGGCAGGCCCCTGAGGGTCGCCTCAGTGAAAGCGAGCTGAAGCTGCCGGGATCTGCAGCAGGGGTGGCCTGGTGGAGAAAAGGGTGGAGGAGGCAGGCAGCACCCTCCTGGAGCTATGGGCCAGGCCCCTGGAATTAGAGGAGCTCAGGGCCACCCTGGACTCAGACAGCCTGTCCCTATCAGAGCAGGGTCCCACCGGAGACCAGATGTGTGCGAGGGACCGCCACCCACGCCCACCCTCTGGGTGGGGCACTGCACCACCGGGGGCTGAGGGCTGCAGCGGGGCTCTGGGCTTGGCCCCTCCCTAGTCCCTGTGCGGCGGCACCAGGCACACGGAACTGAAGTCGAAAGTGCCCCTTCCCTGCAGTCCCCAAGGACATTGCTGTTTCCGTCCTCATGCCAGCAGTGTCCAGCCATGCCCAGGTGCCCACTGCTACACCAAGCTGTCAGCACAAAGAAGGGGAGTGCTTGGGTTAGCAGGGCTTGGAAGTCTAAACCAGGACAGAGATATGGGCTGGCTCTGAGGTCCTGGCTGCCCCAGAGCTGTGCCCACAGTGGCTGCTCTGTGGCCAGCACTCCCACAGGGGGCACCTGGACACCTCCACCCAAGTCCCTCCTGGGCCACTGAAGGGCGCCTCTCTCCAGCTCCTCTGTGGGATCCCTGCACCTGTAGAGCCTTGTTTTGTCTTGAGGCCCCTCCCCTGGGAGCAAGGAGGAGCTGGCCCCTACTGAGCAGCCTGCTGCCCCCCTCAGGACCCCGCCCTGTAGAGGACTTCGAGGTCACCAACGTGACAGCCAACACTATCTCAGTGCGCTGGGCACTGCACAGGATCCACCACGCCACTGTCAGCAGGGTGCGCGTGTCCATCCTCCACCCAGAGGCTCCTGAGGCCCAGGCCACCGATGTGGACAGGAGCGTGGACCAGTTCACATTTGGGTAAGCAGAGACACAGGCTCGTGTTCCGTGTCTGTGTACCTACTATCCCTGCCTGGATAGGTCTGGGGCCCAGGGAGTCAGGCTCAGCTCTGGGGCCTCAGTGTGTCCGTTGGGGGAAGCCTGGCGTTTGTCCAGGACCCCACGATGAACCCCATGGGGTAGCCACTGGTCTGAGGGGAAATCAGGGCAGGCACTGCTGGCAGAGAGAGGAGGGCAAAGGCAGGGGTCTGGCAAGTGGCCCCTTGTGGTTCCTGGGTCACTGCAGGGGCAGGGGCAGGGGCAGAGGGAGGTGAGGGGGTGCTCCCCGACAGCAGCCTCGGGTCAGCACAGGGGCTGCTGTGTGAAGGGCTGAACCTGACCGGCCCTGATGGAGTCCAGCTACCAAACAGTTGTGTGGGACAGACTCTGCCCTGCACTGGTGGGGGCAGAGGCCCCTGCTTCTTCCTCCGCTGTCTCCACCAGAACCTGCCGCTCCCTGTCTTGAGTCACACTGCCCCGTGATGGCGAACCTTTTAGACCTGTCAGTGATAACAAACACCCAGCTGCAGCACATGTGCTGTAGTTTCACCACCACGGAACTGCCGGAGGTGGCCTATGGAAGGCACACAGCAGAGCCCCGGGTGGGTGTGTGAGCGGTCATGGTCCCAAGACCACCCAGCCAGGCTCACCACGAGCACCCAGCACAGGGCGGCTCCTGCAGCCAAGACCCACCACAGAGAGGGGACAGGGTGAGCTCCGGGCTCCTCCCCGGGGACCTGAGCCATAAGCCCTGCGCCCGGGCTGTTTCAGGGCTGGCCACACAGCACCCTGTGCCAGTGCACATGGAAAGTCCAGGCCCCAGGAAGGTCTTCGTGTGAATCACAGTGTCTGGAGACACTTCAGGCACAGGGAGCCTCTCACCTACAGGGCAGTGGGGAGCCCCTCAGTCCCTGCCCCCAGGTGCAGCCCCTGGCTGGCTATGCAAGCCTGTGTGGTGATCTTGTCTGCTGCCCCTTCTCTGGCCTTGCCCCTCTGACCACACTGTGGCTGCCCGCAGAGCACCAGACCCTTCTCAGTCCTGACCTGGACAGCAGGCCTGAGGGCTGCAGAGCTGCTCCTTGTGAAGCAGCCTGATCCCCATGAGGACACCCCCGCTGTTGGTCACACAGAGCTGGCTACTGGCCCCAGATATCCCTGCCCTCCTTCTTCCTCTTTCAGGGCCCTGCTGCCAGGAAGGAGATATACAGTGTGGGTGGCCACCCTCAGTGGGCCTGGGGGAGCAGAGCATCCCACCGAGAGCCGGGCCTCAGCGCCGCTGCCCGTGTGGACCCGTAAGTAGGCAGCAGTCTCCATGCCCACACAGTGTCCTCCTAGAGCTCTGGCCTCCTCCTTCTCCAAGTGTCCATGTGCCAGAAACCCAGGCCCTGGCCTTCTAAGGTCCCTTCCCATGGGGCCCTAGGAGGGGCTGCTGTGCTGGCTGATCAGAGGGCCTGAGAGCACACTGGACTGAGAGTGCCCCTGGAACTGTGTAACTGACTCCCTGTGCCTACAGTCCCTGGTGTCACCAGGCCACAACCCTCCCACTGTGTAGAGGACATGGGATGGACAAGTACCAGGGAGAGGTACGTCACAGCAGGCCTAGGAGGAGTGGTGGTCTGCACAGGACCTCCCCTCCTGGGGACAGTGTGCTCTCTCGGACACAGCCCACCTCAGGGAGGCACTGGAAGGCCCATGTGGCAAGGACCCCTCCCTGTCAAGCCTCCTTCATCTATCCTGTCCCCACCATTACCAGGACTACTCAGGTGTCCATGGTAACCAGATCTGGCTTCTGGGAAGGCCTCAGGAATACCTTTCAGGGCCTATGCTGTGTCCCTGTAAGTCACTTTCCGCCCTGTCCTTCACCTCCCTCTGCTGTCTGCGCCTTGTCCAGGGCCGCTGCCACCAGCAAACCTGACTGCCTCCCGTGTCACAGCCACCTCTGCCCACATGGTCTGGGATGCCCCCACACCAGGAGTATCGCTAGAGGCTTACGTCATCAACGTGACCACCAGCCAGAGCACCAAGAGCCGCTACGTCCCCAATGGGAAGCTGGTGTCCTACACAGTGCGCGATCTGCTGCCTGGGCGGCGGTACCAGCTCTCGGTGACAGCTGTGCAGGGCACAGAGCAGGGCCAGCTGCACAGTGAGCCCACCCACCTCTACATCATCACGTGTGAGTGCCCCAGGCCAGGTGGGGTGGTGTGCTGGGGTGTGGGTCCCTGTCTAGGACCCTCACCTGAAATGGGCCACGCTGTCCCCAGGACATCAGCCAGGCTGGGAACAGGCCTGGTGCAGCGTGGCAAGTCTGAGCGGGGGTGCTCTCTGCATGAGGGAGGGATGGGCTCATCCAGGGGCACTGACAGTCTGGACAAGCAGGCATGTCCAGCCTCCCTACACTGCGCCCTGCACTACACCCAGGCAGGTGGGCAGGCAGCACAGGGCATCACCCTGCAGCGGGTGCCAAGTGGGCAGTGTGGGAAAGGCCCCAGAAGTGGCCTGGCAGGCTGGGCCTTACCCACAGGACCTGCTGGACATGAGCATGGCGAGGGACCAGGAGGCTGGGAGGGCTAGGAGATAGAGGGTGTTTCGCCCAGCGGACTGAGAGCATCTGGGTGAGGGCTCAGGAGACCCACCAAGAACCAGGGTTTGTTCCCCAGGGCAGGGAGCCCCTGCTGACATCCACCAGCAGAACATGCTCTCCCGCTGGTATTCTCAAAGAAGTGAGAACACCACCTGTGTGGGCAGAGCAGGGGGTGAACCATGGCAGTGACAAGAGCAGGAGACCAACAAGCCGAATGCAGAGCCAGACAGACCGGAGCCTGAGAGTAGAGAGGCTCCCTCCTGCTCCCCAGCTCTGCAGTCTCCCAGTGTGGCTGCAGGCATACCTGCTAGGTGGGAAAGGTAAGCTGGGGCCAGGGAGAGATCTCAGCCTGCCTAAAGAGGCAGCTTCTAGGATGCAGACAGACCAGGTGACCTGGGCCAGGTCCCCATGTCCATCCAGTGTCTGAATGCAGAAGGACACCGTGGGTGATGTGCCTGTCAGGTGGACAGCAGCATCTCTCCCTCCCCAGGCAGGAAGAGTGAGTGTGGGCTGGGCTGGGCAGGGCAAGGGTACCCCAGGCCAGCCCTGTGGCCGCTACCTTCCACCTGCCTGCTCTGCAGCCCCCAGGGACAGTACCGACAGACGCTGGCACCAGGGAGGACACCACCCACGGGTACTCAGGAATAGACCACCCCCTGTGCGCCTGCCAGAGCTGCGCCTGCTCAATGACCATAGCCTCCCTGAGGCACCAACCCAGCCGCCCAGGTACATGCCCTGGCCTAGCCTTGTGGTCCCAAAGGTGTGCTCTAGCCATGGTGACCTGCCACCCCGTGCTCTCGCAGGTTCTTGGAGCTTGTAGATGGACGGGGACGTGTGAGTGCCAGGTTTAGTGGCCCACCCAGCAAACCAGTCACCTCAAGATCACGTGAGTGCTCTAGCTTACCTGGGACAGACTCAGTACCACTCCCCCTTGTCCCTTACAACCTGGATGTGAAGATACCCAGCATCCAACCCTTCCCCAGCCAAGACCTTGGGAGGGGCCAGCTGGTAAGGGGCCTCTGCGCTGGCAGAATGTGACCAGAGATGTAGGCTGCAAACAGGCACACCTGGGAAGTCCAAAATAAAGCCATTACAAGTAGATGCAGAGGTGACTTGCTCTGGGAGCCAAGAGTGCAGCCTGCACAGAACGACAGATGAGAGGAGGAGGTGGTGCAACCCCCAAGGAGCACGGACGGAGGGACAGCAGTGGCTCTGAACCCAGGAAGGAGCGCGCCCCTGCATTAGCTATAAGGAGGCGGGGTCTGATAGAGTGGGTCACTGCAGCCTTTCCACAGCCACTGGGGTAGGAGGGTGGGACCTGATCCTCCACAGGAGGCAGCACATGGGGACCGGTGGGTGGCAGGAAGCTGCTCAAAAGGACCACCAAGACAGGCCTGGGCACAAAGCAGCATTCCGAGTGTTCACCTCTGGCTTTCCCAGAACCCACCAGCCTGGTGCCACTTGAGAACACGGAGGAGGCCCCTGAGCAGGTCTACCTGGCCCTCCAGCTCCCTGAGCGCACCGACAAGGACACGGAACGTAAGTCAACAGCATGAGGGGCTGGGGACTGACTGTGCTCAGGTCACCAGTGAGGAATCCCACATCAAGGGGTCTGGAGGCACAGGGTCCGCCCAAGGGGCAGCCAGGCACCCCCTCCTGGAAAGTGGTGGCATCCGTCCTCCACAGGTGGCAGGCAGGGAGCAGGCTGGAGCGGGACCCACTCAGTCACCTGGGGCCGTGTTGGAAGGTGGCCTCCCCGCAGCTGTCCCTGCAGCCCCACACCCTCGCTGCTCTGCACAGCCATGTTGAGTGAGGAAGATGGGAATCAGTGGTGGGAGTGCACACAGTGCCAGCCTGGCCTGAGCGACACCCAGCCAGGCTGGGCCTGCATCCAGGCTCCACGGTGCCTGCACTGTCCCTGGTGCAGTGCTCCACCTTGTGACAGCCACAGCCAGGGAGGTCTCCAAGGAGGCTTCTCCCCTGTGGACAGCATGATGAATGATGCTCCATATGCAGTCAGACTCTGGCCCTGACTGGAAGGTTCTGCTACACCCCACGGCCCCTTCTCCTGAGTCACGCCATGGGCACAAGCTGGGCTCACCCATCCTTCTGACCCCAAAGAGAGCCAAGCATACAGAAAGGCATGAACTCTGAGGAAGGTCCCCAAGGACAGCTGCAGTAGCAAAGGAGGTTTTTGCAAATGCTGGCTCCACTACGACCAGTCCACAGCCTCCCTTCACTGCAGGCAGGCTCACAGGCTCTTGGCTCATGAGGGGCAGGCGGGCAGAACAGTGAGCGGCCACCAAGGAGGATGTCCTTCCCTAAAGGCACAGCTCATCCTGTGAGCAGACACTGGCGTTGTTGCTTTTGGAGTGGCACAAAGCAGGCATCCCATCAAATGGTTTCCATTACATCTGCCTCTCTAAGTATTAGGCGCTCATTTCATGAACCTGAGAAATAAGGACTTGAGCTGGCTCCCCTCAACCCATTCACTGGCCCCGAGCTCAACATGACCCTGGAGGCTGCCAGACAGGGCCCACGCCCCTGTGGGGTGAGATGACTGTAAACGCTGGGCAGGAAGAGCTGGACGTGGCCTGGTTTCTTACGTGCTCGCTGTCGTCACGGGGCGGTGGCTGTGTGAGACACTGGCCCTCAGGTGCAGACGCTGCGAGGGTTTACAGAAGCGCTGCTGTGAGCTGCTCTGCAGTGCCCGAAAGGTAACGGAAGACGGGAGTGCACAAAATGGGTTAGGTGGAAGCTCAGTTACCCAGGTTCTTCACAGTCCATATGTGGTAGGGTTAAAAATAAGGGATTTTTCTTTGCTTTAAGCCCACAACTCATTTTAAGCAGAAAAGAAATTCCTCCAGCTGGGCACAGTGGCCCATACCTGTAATCCTAGAATCCTGGGAGGCTGAGGCAGAATAATCGAAAGTTCAAGCCCAGCCTGGCAACCCAGCAATTGGGCAAAGCGCTGTTCCAGTTGGTGAGCTGGGAATGGCAATGCACGCCTGTAATCCTAGCACTCGAGAAGCTGAGGCAGGAGGACTACTGCCTTTCAAGGCCAGCCTGAACTATGTAGCAAGCCCCTGCCTGAAAAAAGGGGGTGGAGTAGGAATGTAGCTCAGTGAGAAGGCCCTGGGTTCAGTCCCCAGTAATGAAGAGCACAAGAAAAGCCCCAGAGAAGGGGCTGGTGCTGGCCAGCAGTGGCCTGAGGCCTTCACAGGCACCCTGGGCCCAGGCCCAGGAAGCCCCTGGAGAATATGGGGAAGGGCTGGATCCCACGGTGGGGGATGGAGCCTCTTAAAACTAGATGTGGTAAGTGCTGCATAATCCTCACTCTTCAGCCTTCTCAATGCTTTCTAAGTTAAAACATGAAACAACAGGTGTCTCGACAAAGCTGGAGAAAAGGACAGAAGCTAAGGGCAGCCGGCACTTGGGGGGCAAGGCAAGGCTATTGCTGTGTGGTAGGGACACACAGGGAGGTGGGCACAGACATGAGCACAGAGGACGCCAGCCAGTTCTGCACCGTAGGCACGGGCCTCAGGCTCCATGCAGAAGCAAGCCTGTGTAGGGCCAAGGCCACGGAAGAGCAGGCGGGGAGGGGTGTGACGAGCTCGGCACAGATGCCCAGTGGACTCTCTCCTTCCTCTTTCCTTGAAGTCAGAGGTCGGGCCCAGGCGATGGAAGCCACCTCCTCTCTTATCCTCTCTCCACACACCTGGCACGAGCCCTTCCTCCAGGCCCAACAGAAGTGGGTCACCCAGAGGGGCAGCCTGCCTGCCAGCAACTGACTCTTCTGGCTCTTTTCCAGGTGCCCAGGGAAGCTGCTCAGAAGATGCCTGTCACAACGGAGGCACCTGCGTGCCTGGCGCCGACACCTACAGCTGTGACTGTGGGCCAGGGTTCAAAGGCAGGCGCTGTGAGCTTGGTAAGTCAGGGCTGGCCACAAAGTGGGGCCTGGACTCGGCCACAAGTGGGTTTGCCTGGGGGAGGGGCCCAGGTCCAGAGGCCGACGGGCAGGGACCTCTGAGGTGACCAGGAGCCATGGGGGACTGCACAGCCACCAAAGCACCAGGATGAAAGGTGCTGCCTGACAGGGAGGAGGAGAAAGTCACAAACAGGGTCCCAAGCAGCAGCCACAGTGCAGCAAGGCATGGCTGCAGGGCAAGCGTAGAGGTGAAAAGGAGCAGAACCCACAGGAGAGACAGGGACTCCGCTTTTGGACTGAGTGCCAAGGGAGGCCAACAGGCAACCTACATCTGCTAGACCATCCCAAGGCCAGTCTGGCTGCAAAGATGGCCCAAGGCAGGGTGACCCCTGTGGGCACTGAGCACCCCTGGGAACAAGGCCTCTATCCCAGGAAGCAGGCAGTGAGGACCCCCAGGCTCCCCCACAGGGAAAGGCAGGAAGAAAGGCCTGCTCTGGCCCAGAGCTTCCTCCAAGCCCCCACCTGTCCCTTCTGTGCCCGCAGCCTGTGAAAAGGTGCCTCGCCCCTGCACGAGGCTGTTCTCGGAGACGAAGTCTTTTCCAGTCTGGGAGGGAAGCGTCTGCCACCACATGTAAGTTGTCTGCCCTCAGCCTCACTGCACTGTAGAGCTCTCAACTTCCCCAAGGGTTTTCGTACTAACCTGCGGCAGCAAGGCTGAGTGGCCGGCTGGGCCTCCATAGCTGAGCACCTGGCCCGATGCCTTTAGCCTCCTCTCCCACACCTTGGGCCCCCCTGGACACAAGGCCACACCATATGGACGTCAGGACTGACCATCCCTTCCCTTCCTCGGAGCCCTCTGGGAAACAGACAGCACATGAGACCACCAGTCCCAGAGAGGCCTGAGAAAAGTCACAGACAAGGCCCTACACAGCAGCCGATGCGCAGCAAGGCATGGCTGCAGGGCAAGCATGGAGGTGAGAAGGAGCAGAACCTCCAGGAGGGGCACAGGCTCCACACAGCCAGTGCAGTTCTGTCACGTGGCCGTGGGCAGAGCACCCGTGCTGTTTCCCATCTGACCAGTGGGCTGTGGAGGGAGAGACACCTACTGCGCTGGTTTCTGGGGACCACTGCTGCCGACATCTGTGGCTGAGTCGCACTCACAGTGGCTTCAGCTCCAGACCTGACTGAGCACCTACCCATTGCAGTGAGTGCAGACAAGGGCAGAACCTAGTGAGAGCAGGCACGCTGGCCAGACTGCTAAGGAGAAGGGAGAGGTGAAGCTTGGAGAGCCAGGGCGGCCAGAGTAGCCCCCATGGAGAAGGTAACTGCACGGACATGGATGAGGTGGGGATCTAAGGGAAGAACATCCCAGGTGAGGCTGTCTGTTGCCAAGGTTTTGCCTCCCAGTGCCCCCGGTGTGTCTGAGGAACAATGCAGGGGTCAAGTGGGGCTGAAGCCAGTGAGGCAGAGAGTGGTAGGAGGGCAGGGGACCCTCAGAAGGACCCTGGCTTTTGCTGTCCACAATGAGGGGCTACCAAAGCCTTCCGAGCTGAGAGTGATGTGTGATTACATTTCACCGATGCTCTGAGAAGTATGGGAAGAAGGGGGCGAGGGCAAGCAGCTTCATGAGTGCAGTACAAGCCAGGCTCCATCACAGCAGGAAAATGCAGGAGCCTCGGACCCAGATGAGGCTCCCAGCCATGACCCTGGGCTCTGCAGTGTGACCGTCCACACACAGTTCCTTGGTCTTTCCACCCTGCTGGATGCCCCAGATCCTGCCAAGGAGAGCCTTTCACTTACCAGGCGCCTCCTCCACTTTTCCTTGTAGCCCACCTGCATGTCTGAAGTGACCACAGCTGACACGGCTGGGTTTAAATCTACGTTACTGATTATACTTCTTTGATTTGGAATTTGTTGAGCAGTGGCTCTAGGATGTACAACACCCCCCTTCAGCTGTCGGAAGCTACCTTCAGTTACTAGCATCCACCTTTAATGTAACGCCGCTTTCTTCCAACAGCACAGGTCCACTTCCCTCATCATCTGAATCTTCATTAAGCTTTTTTAGTTTCACACGTGCGCGAATGTCACAGTATTTTAACTTTGTTCTCAACAGTTACCTTTTTTTAAAGTGTTCAAAGTAAAGTCTTTTGCATTTACTTGTATATCTGCCACATCTAATACTTGTGTGAGCATTTTGTCCATCAGGTATCACCTTCCTTGACCTAAACATACAGTATCACTTCTTACAGCACAGGTCTGCTGCTAATGAATTCTCTGCTTTTGCCTGAAAAAGTTTTTATCTCATTTTCATTTTTGAAGGAAACATTTGCTAACTATAGAATCACTAGCTGATGGCTGTGATTTTTCTTTTTTTACCTTACTGCTGTCATTCCTTGGTCTTTTGCCCTGCATAGTTTCAGCCAAGACTGCAGTCATGCCCACCTGGGTCCTCCCCACCTCATGGCTGCCTTTACATTTTCTCTTAATCACTACTTCTGGCCAAGTTACATATGAAGTGCTTTGTGTTTTTACTCTCTGAAGTGTAAGCTTTTTTACACCTTTGGGGCTTTAGATTCTGTCCAATTGGGAGCATCAAGGCCATTATTCCTTACATTTTTTCTGTCCTTTCACTCTTCCTCCTGTCCTGGAACTCCATAGATCACTGGAGCCCTTTTCATTTCGTGGAAGTGTTAGACAGATTCTACTGCTGTGTGTCCAAGATCATAATCTTTTCTTCTGCACCATCTAATAATCTGCAATCAATTCTATTCAACGGAATTTCAGCCCTGTCATTTCTAGGCGCCCACTGAGCTCTCCCTTTGATCCTTCACTTCTCTGTCATGTTCACACTGCTTTTGTCACCAAAACGGAGCAAAGGCATCATGTTCAGGGTCGTCACCTGTGACTCCTGTCATCTTTTTCTTTTTTTCTGTCCTTTCCCCTCTCTCAGTTGAGTCATATTTTTCTGACTTTTTAAATGTCTTATAATTTGTTAATGGATCCCAAACTATAAATTTTATGTTACTGAGTACCAGATTTTTTTTCAAGACCATTGTTGGGGGTTTTTTGTTTGTGTGTTTTGCAAGGCACTTTTTGAGTTTAGTTTGATTCTCTTGAGGCTTGCTTTAGAGTATCCTTATTCTAGGGCAGTTTCGCCCCCTTGTTATTAAATGAGATCTGCCCATTCCAGCTCTAGTGTGATACTGCTCCTCTGTCCTTTCGTCCAGCCTCATGGACTCCACTGTGTGCATGCATAGCTTGACCTACAGCCACAGGTTTCTGGGGCTGCTCCTCTGCAGAATTCCTTCCTCTCCAGGACACTGCCCACAACTCCTGTCTTCCTCTGCTTCCCCACTGCAGTCTGTTTCAACCCAGCATGACCACTGCCCAGCTCCCTCTCTGCAGTGCTACGTAATGGTGCTCCAAGCTGAACTGCAGTGTGACTATAGGGCTCATCTTGTGTATCTGTCTTCTAAGGGTTTGCAGTCTGTTTCTTAGATTGCTTGTTTTCTAAGATCAGAAAATAGTTACTTCTTATTTCAGCTTTGCCATCACTGGAGCCAAATATCCAACATTCACAACATAAAGGAGTAGATTTAATTTGGCTCATGGTTTGAGAGGACTCAGTCCAGGGTTGGCAGGCTCCAATGTAGAAACATCAGGGTGAAAAGGTGTGGTGTGGGGCAAAGCTGCTCATGCCTCACTGGCTGGAAAGCAGAGCTGAGGAGCCACACCAGAGAAGAGGCCAGGGCCCAGATACAGTATCCAAGGTCATTCCTCATGACCCACCCAGACACACCCAGAAATGTCCTTACAAACCCCTAGGCAGCTCTGAAGCCAATCAAACAGACATCCAGTTCAACAGTCACAGTCATATGCCTTGTGCACGCTGGGAGTTCGCCCTGGGAGGCCCAAGCACCAGGCTTAGCAAAGCTTCCACCAGACTTGGCATGGGCGGCAGCTCTCCCATCAAGCTACTGTGTGACTCAGAGACAAACCCCTTTCCATTCCTGTCACCTATAAACTTGTAAGAGAGGTGGTATGCAGAGCTCCCACTTTACATAACACTGAGACTTACAAGTTAAACAGTCTTACTCGAAGCAGCCTGGTTAGTAAATGGGAGAGGCAGGCTTGGAGTCAAGTCTCCTGGTCCAAACAGTCCACATCTGCAAGCTTCTCAGTCTTCTCCATGAAATCCCCAAATAGACAGGATTGGGGTCACCCCTTCCCAAGGCCTTGAAGTAGTGTGCTTCCAGGAAAGTCATGTCATTGAAATGTCACCCGGCATCTTCTAATACCATACAGCTTTGTCAGCACTCATCAAAATGCACTCGAAAATGGGTACATCTTATGTATACTATACTCAGTAATGTTTTAAAACTCACATGGGTTTTTATGTTAGACATTTACATGTACTCACAGGAGGTTAAGATTTTATCAGGAAAATAGTGGTCTTCCCCTCAAACACCATGGAATTCACCTGTGGTCAGCACAGCCTAGGCCAAGCAGCTAGGTAACATTTACTTCGGTGTCTGGTTTCACAGAGCTTTCTTGTGATAACAGGTATAAAAGAGTCTACAAAGTTCACCAAGATGTCTGCTTCAAAGAGCGCTGTGAAAGCACAAGCCTCAAGAAACCCCAACCAGGTGCATCTCGGGGCCCCAGCTGAAGCCTGCATATAGCTCAGGGCAGTGGGCAGAGGTGACGGGTTGGCTGAGCCAGGTGGCTGGGCCCTGAAATGCAGACCCTGCGCAGCCGTGCCTGCTCAGTTATGTGTCCATGCCAGGCTGGGCATGAAGGCACGGCAGTCTGCACACTCACACAGGACGTGGTGCACAGTGAGAAGGCACGTGTTCCCTACAGGTCCCAGTGTGTGACCACAGACACAGGGCACTCATTTACTGTGCTCACACCTAGGTTTCTTCTCAGAGGGTTTGAGGTGGCCACAGAATGACTGCTGTTTGGGTTTCACTGCTCTCACAATGGGGTCTGACCCTCAGTCATCCCTCCATAGACACAGACCTTGTTAGCATGATGGGGCACCAGGCAATGGCTAAAGGGTGCCACTCACCTAGGGGTGCCACTCACTCCATCGCCCCCGTTCTTGCCTGCCCCCTTCCACACCCTCCCCGTGACACACATCCAGCCAGCTGCTGTCTTCTCTTTCCACGGTGACCCCCTGGATCCAGGCTCACACTGAGATGTCAGTCTGTGCACCCCTGGAGCAGATATGAGCAGCAGATGGCTAGGGCAGCATCCTGGATGGAGGGCGTGCATGGTGAGAGGTACACAAGTCTCTTTGTCTTAAAGCACTTTTCTTAATTATTTCAGGAAACAAAGTAACAGTCAAACACTGAAGAAACCTTAAGGTGCCTTACCCAGCCAACCTGAGAGCTGTTGGCCAGAGGGAAAGGTGGGCCCATCTGCCCCAGGCCAAGCACTGCGGCTCCTCTTGGCACTGCCACAGCAAGCACGCGGGCTCTGCTATTATAACCCTGACCAGAGGCTGTGGAATCCCACCCACGCCTCCCAGCAGGCATAACCTGGTCAGCCTCAGACACAGTCATCTTCAGGTGGAAATAAGTCCCACTGTCTCAAGGGGAAGGAGAGTAGCTGGAAGAGGGCCTTCAAGGAGGCTGGAGACTACCCAGAAGACCACCTGGCCCCCTGGAGGGAAACCGGATCAGGTGGTGGGAGGGCAAGGAAGGCTGAGAACCCTAGGGGTATGAGAAGAGCATCCTACTGTGAATGGCGTTCTACTGGAAGGAAAATGGGCTGAGGCCTTGGCCAAGCAACATCTGGGAGGTCCTGAAGACAGCAGACACTGGTATTTCCCACATCATCAACTCTGAAATCAAAGAAATGCTACCTTTGTTTGATCCAGCATTTCCCAGACTCTTCTGCAGATGAAACTCTGCATCATGCTCACCTCCCTGCATGTGCTCTGCTGACTCTTAAAGAGCACTGTTATTCACAACTGATTGGAAAATACTGAGTGGGGCCACAGAAACACGCCTGCAGCCTGAAGCCCACTCCACACCGAACTTCTCAGCTGCACGATGTCAGTGGGATGAAAGCTGTGGCCTCCAGCAGCTGCCTGCACTGCCTCTGGACAAGCTGGCCTTGTAGGGCAGGAGTTGCCTCCATCAGGAGCCACCTTGGGCAGTCTCCCTTCTCTTCCACAGCTCAGGAGAAGAGGAAATGTCACTCAAAGGGCATAGACCAGCCAGAACCATGGGGCTTCTGGGATTGTCTCACACAAATGAGGGGTCCACATCATAGGGCGCACTGGGTACAGCTCTACAGGCATCAGAAGAACAAGCTGTCAGACGAGGCCTATGTGACGGAGCACGTAGCACAGCCAGGCTGGCTCAGATGTGAAGTCTGTCAAGAACAGCTGGCAGCACTCAGTTCCTGTCCCCTCCCCTCTCACCTCTAAAGACACACACAACACTCCACGGTGTGCAAGCAACTGAGTCCTGGTAGGGACCAAGAGTTCATAAACATCCTCAGGGCTTGAAATATTTCATGGCAAAGCACCTGAAATATTAATGTGTATCTTTTAAAAACTCATCTAGCAAATGTTTCTATGAAAACTGTGCAAGCCCCAATTAATTATCAAATACTGATTTATAGAAGTTTTATTCTGAAACAATGAGGAAACTACAGAGGAAACAAATACATCCACCTGGACACCAATCCAAGAACAATACAAAAATTCTCTGTAATCCAGAGCAGCCTCAGCGAGGAGACCCGGTATCACCAAGAGGAAGAGGGAGAGGAAAGCAGCCTGCAGACTCAAGTGAAGCCTCAAGGCTGAGCGCAGACAGCCCTGAAGTCAGGGTGAGTCTGGGCCTCCACTCCCTGCCCTCCACACACAGCCAGGCTGGAATTCTGACACTGGAAGAAGATGGGGTCTCTAGGGACAGTGCTTATGGCCTCCAGAAAAGGGAGTCATGCAGAAGGCAGGCAGTATGCGTCCTCCTCCTCATGCCTCACTTTGTTTTTCCTTCAAAGGCTTTGGGATGTGCCTGTCACTGTCTACCCGCCTCAAGCGTTGCTAAAACCCAGAAAGATGATGTCTAACAACTGGATCATAAAGAGCCCCTGAGAGACAGGGTTCTAGCTGGAGGCAGCCCCTTCTGCAACCTCCAGAAAACAGACTACTACACACACCACCATACCTGGTGACTCCTCCAGGACAAGTCACTTGTGAGGCACTGAAGCCCCTGTAATCTAACCCAGGGTGTGGTTACTCAGAGGTGTAGTCTGTGCCCAAGTGCAGAAGTATGCAGTGCACCCAGGGTAGCAGGGCTTCTGTGGCAATGTTCCTGCAGCACTCAAAAACCAGCTCTCAGACTCCAGTTTCAGAGAGAGAAGCCTCCCTTGATCCCTAACACATGGAGGAGACAAGACCTCCGCCAGCTTCCAAAACCTAGACCAGTGGGATGCACAGGGTGGAGACAAGGGAGCCACCCACTCCATGCCTCCAGTTTATGCTGTCTGGACTAGTGTGACAGAAAGAGGAAATGTTCATTACTACTAAAGGGGAGCTTAGTTTTAATCTATACATGGGTTGGCACTTTTTCTAAAGTTCCAGGTGGTTTTTTGGGCTTTGCAGGCCTCTGTGACAACCACTCAGCTCAGCCACTGGCACAAACCACCACAGAGGTGCAACTGGATGGGGTGGTTGTTCCAATAAAACGTCCTTTACAAAAGCAGGTGGTGGCCAAATTGGCCCACAGTCTACGGTCACCTAGGCTTGACTTAGAGGAAGCCATGCTCTGGACCTGTGGACATTCACAAAACAAAGCTATCCAGACCCTTGCTCAGAAAACCATGCCACACCCCAGAGGTCTCATTCATTTATAAAAATATCCTTTGAAGTTGTATTTTAGGCCATCTGTTTTTATTAAATTTTACATGCACATGTCTGTGTATTACACAGTTTGTCATTTCCAGAGGAGGAACAGCCATGAGGAAATCGCTACTAGAAACACTGCCTGGTCTTCGGAGAGCCAAGGGCAGAGACTGATGAAGGGTGAAGGGAGGGGCAGGTCCACAGATATGCATAGCTGATGCCCACTGCAGCACCGGGGCCTGGCCTGTCCCCTCCACACAAGCTCCAGCAGCACTAGCAACTGGTAAAACAGGCATTACTGAATGGTAGATGCCACTTCCTGTACCATGCTAGTGACCTTATGGCCCTCAGCCACCAGGCAAATGGAGATGCGTTCCTTTTAGGGATTTTTTTGTTTTTTGGGTTTTTTGTGACAGGGTCTTGCTCTGTAGTTCAGGCTGGCCTTGAACTCATGGCAATCCTCCTGCCTCAGCCTCCTGAGTGCTGGGATGACAGACATGAGCCACCATGCCTGGCTTCAATTTTTAATTTAGAATACACTGTTTCAGCAAAAGACAGCGACTGGGTGCTGAGCATTGTGCGGTGTGGTCATACCATCAACCCAGTCTGATGTTTCAGAAGCAGTGTCTGATGTCGAGGGCGTTACAGTTACCTGGTCAGAAGAGCTGCCACTGCTGCTCTCACATGTCCTTCCTAAGACTGATGTGGTCTCTGAAAACATTCAAAGTTCAGCCAGACAAATGAACCCTAATGGAATCTGAAAATTAACAGGGTATAAAGATGTACTTCTGTGCCCGAATGAAAGCAGCAGTATGAGCTGTGGAGTTTACCATTCACCACTTAAAATGGGCTCAGCTGACCATCTCCTCAGGCTTAGGTGTAAGAGCTTACCAGTCCTGCTGCCCAAGAACAATGCCAAAGGAGGGAGACGACAGTCACTGGGATGCTACAAAGGGGAACAAAAGGCAGGAACACAGACGCAAAGTGGGCATCTCCATTGTTCTGCCCTTAGCCACAAACAGCCAGACCGTCAGACTCTCCCTTCCCCACTGGCTGGGGGATACCAGGTACACACAGGACACCTTCACTGTGCCTAGCTTCCTTGGAGAGCCCAAACGCAAGGGCCGCAAGTTTGCCAGTCTCCTACACCGCTGGTAAACTGCTGCCACCATGACTCACTCACAGGAGGCGTCACAGAGCTACCGCTTCTCTTTGCAATCCTGCTCCAGCGTGAGCCTGCAGGAGAGTGCAGAATCCCCACAACAAAGCACAGCTCAGATCTGCCAAGGTATGAATTTTAAATATAAATAAACACATTAATGAAACTCCATTAACCACCCAAAGGAAGCGGTCACTGGGCCAAGCCTTACAGTGGTCTCTCAGCTTCCATACCATTTGGGGCTGGATCACCCTTTGTCTTGGGGCCATCCTGGACATTATAGGATATTTTGTAGCATCCCTGGCCACCACCCACTAGATCCTAGTGGCACCCCACACCAGGGTGATTACAATCAAAAAGGTCTCCAAGTCTGTCAGATGTTCCAAGGGTCAAGGCTGTCTCCAGGTAACAGCTGTAGCTTCACAGGATTTTTAAATTAGTCTGTGTGGGAAGAACAAGCCCAGGCATCAGAGGAGTTTCATATGGCTGTTAAAATGCCGCCAAGCAGACTCACATTTTGGCTACCAAAGATGCTCTCTGCAGCACCACTTCTGTGCAATTCCCCAAGGAAGGGGAATGGCCTAGGAGCGACCAGTCTTCGGGCTGAGCATTCTGCCATCACAGCCAGGCCTCTACCTCAGAGCATATCTGATCCGCATTCCCAGCATCTCATACCACTCCTCACGCCTATCCTTCCTCAGTCCACATTCCTATTATTCCTCACTCCACATTCCCCAGTGTGAGACCTACACTTGGGTGTCTAGACAAATTCCTGGAATGAACCCACAATCAGTCCTGGGCCTGTGCTCACAAAAGGGGATGACTGTCCAAGAATATTCCCCAACCCCTCCAGCCCTGGCATCTCCAAGCCAGTACAACCCAGCAGCACAGGCCATGGGCCATAGACACCAGATCTGTAGGAGAGCAACGGCCAGGGCAAGACAGGGAAGTCAACTTGGCTCAGCAGGAAAAGCTGGTTCTTCACAGATAAAGTGTCTGTGCTATACTAGACTGAAGAAAAGATGCAAAACTAAAGCACACATCACTAATCAACTGCCTTTCACTCTGCTGTATAATGAATGCAGTAACAAGATACTTTTGGATTTAAAACATGGGTATTTTTGTGGGAAACCTACTTGTTTTCATAAAATAAAGTACCATTATGTACTAAAACCTCATATGGTCCCCTCATGATTTCTAAGGGAAATAAAGTGACTCTTGAACAAGAAGTCGGCACCTATCTTCCACATCATTATGGACTTAGCACCAACAGTTTTAACAGAGAGAGAGAGAAAAAAAAATTTGGATGTATTGAGTTCCCTCGATTTTAACAGCTATTTTACTTAGGATGGAATGGGGCCTCCCCATCCCACAATCACACCACCGCACCTCCTATTTGGTTTGACCTATCCACATTTTGGGTAGTTCATATAGTTTTTTTTTCATCAAAGATCAGTGTTAGAATGAAATACTTGAGAAGATCCAAGTGAAGTTCCCAAAAGCTTTGAGAATGTGACAATGTTCTTTGTGGTCCCTGGGCCCTTTTGCCTCAGTCCTTCATCACAACTCTTCTTCATCCTTGTCCTCCTCCTCTTCCTCTCCCTCCACCTCCTTTGACATGCTGCTCTCAGGCACCTCTTCCTCTTCCCGAGCCAAGAGCTTTTTAAAAACCACAAATTCTTCAGCAGAGGAACAGGCTGTCTTGGCCAAAAACTCAGCCTCCGAAACTCTGAAAATGTCCTTGAGTAAAGGGTTTGCGATCTGCGTCTGCCCCTTCTTATCAGGTGTTTGGTACCGTCCCAGGCGCTCCAGGTAAATGTGTCTCTGCTTGATCTTGGTTAATGAGTACTTTAAGAACTCAGTCCTTACTATGTCCAGATGCTTAATTCCCATTCTAAAGTATGCATACTGGAAGATACAAATACGTTTACATACAAAATGTGAAAACCCATCATTCCACAATTCATAAAACTTAAGCTGTCCCAAAGCATTTAACAAGAATTGCCTAATTTGGGGCTGGAGATTTAGCTCAGTGGCACAGTGCCTGCCTGGCAAGTGCAAGGTCGTGAGTTCGATTCCCGGTACAGGAAAAAAACAAAACAAAACAAAAAAAGAATTGCCTGATTAACCACAGAATATTCACTCTGTGATACTAACATTTGTATGATAGCTGACCAGTTTCAAAGCATTTTCAAATTCAAACTGAGAAAACAAAAAGGGCTGGAGAGAAAAATTGTATTTTTCTTTAAATGGAAAAAAGGAAAATTGAGTATAGAAAATGGGCAAAAAATTTTATAAAACATCTAGGAATTTGAGGTAAGCTGTCATAACTCTTACTAAAATATTAATACAATTGTCACAATTTTTAAAATCAACATACAAAACAGATTTTAAGCATAGGAAAGCTTTACTATTTCAGAGTCCCCACATGGACTCTAGTAAGGTACAGGACTGGGCCACTCATTGTAACGGAAAAATGCTGTAGGACAGTTTAATCTAGAGTGGAGAAGTAGAAAAAAAACCAGAGACATTCTTTTTGGCAAATGTGTGCAAAGATAATAAAAGCCTTTACCTCATCCACTCAGAGGCTGGCTATTTATTCATTCTGCAGTATTGGAGACTGAACCCAGGGTCTTCACACTGAGCTACATTTCCCAGCCCCTTTTTAATTTTCAGATAGGCTCTTGCTGTTACTGAGTTGCCCAGGCTGGGCCTGGAAGTGTGATCCTCCTGCCTTAGCTTCCCAGAGTGCTGGAAATACAGGCTTGTACCACCACACCCAGTAAGGCTTTTTTTTTTCTTTTTTAAATCTAGACTTGACCTTAGTCCATTTGAGAAACCTGAAAACGTACCACTACTTGCCTAATCACTCTTATCAGTCCCTCTCACCTGGAATTTGTATTCCAATTCATTGGGATCCTGCTGAAGCACGTTGGGGCACCTGTATAAAATCTCAGTAACCTGCTGCACCGTGAAAAGGCACTTCTCCTTGAGGACATGAATGACACCATCAACATCCCGCTGATGCATGGTGAAAATCTCAGGGCAACTGTGGAGCACCCTCTTCAGTTTCCCTGCACAGCAGTAAGAAGAGGAAAGCACATAATTTCAGGGTCCTCCAGAAACCCAGGGCTAGCTTGTGCCTTAAAGCTAAGCCAGCCTTTAGAAATGAATAAGCGCAGACTTCAGACGCACCTTCCATCAGCACCACGGAAATGACTTCTCAGACTCACTAGCCCACCCTATATCCCTGCCTCCGAGCTGAAGGTGCCATCTTCTTTTTTGAGACAGGGTCTTGCTCTGTAATACAGGCTGGCCTTCAACTCACTATGTAACCTAGGCTGGCCTTGAACTCGAGGTCATGCCCTTGTCTCAGCCTCCCGAGTGCTGGGATTACAGGTGTAAGCCACCACACCAAGCCAAGGATGCCAATTTCAAATTCTAGGTCTCCTCACATCCTCATCACTTAGACAAGAATTTCCCAGGGATTTGTAGGAAAGACTAAACATGGGAGGAGCTTCCCCACGGCAGAGCTGTGGCTTCCCTCAGTGATAAAACAAGCACTGAACCATTCACAGCCAACAACCTCAGGACCTGGGAGTCCAACTCAGTGCCAAGGCGTTCTGATGATGGGAATAACAGTATCTTGATATATATCACAAATACCAACATCCTAGTTGCCTAGGAAACCATGCATTTTATCTACACCAAGTAAATGCATTAGGACAACTGGTGTGAACTGAAACTATCCCAGGTAAATTGGGGCAGTCTTCCTCTGGACAGTGAGGCACAGTTTAGAATATGGAAATTTAAAATCACTTTTCTGAACTGTTAATTAAAATTATCCTAATGTTGGTCATTGTCTTACTAAAATATGTGAAGAATGGATTTCACAGTTTAGGCTTTATCTTCATTTCTTAAGCTGTCCTGAGTTTGCTAGTTAATAATAATAGCACATACCTTCTCACATTTAGGCTTTAGGTTACATTTAAAGAGAAAATAAATCTGCTAAGAGAAATACACAAAGCTACCTTTTTACTTATTTTCTAAAGGAAGCTGATAGAGACCCTAAGAAATTGTGAGCCCTAAACCTTTGCTGCCCGCTGCATCTTACCAGGAAGAATCAATGTAAAAAATAATAGTGGAACTCCTCTGGTCAAAGAGGGTAGAGGTCCTTGGAGGTCTTTATGGGTCCTATCTGCCTTCTCCAGAAGATCCCTAAAGAGATCCAAGGAATGTCAAAGGTCCTTGAGGTATGAACACTGTTGGGAAGGTGAAACAGCCAGAGGAGTCCACTCCACCAGCTTCCCAGGAGCCTGGCAACATCTCTCAGGTTCCACAGTAAATCAAACTATTTAGGTGACACCTAAGTCTGTAAGGGATGGAGTCACAGGCTAAGACTGCACTGACTGGTTTTTGACATCAAGAGTTACACATATGTGCACACATGTTACCTCCACAAAGCAACCCCAGTCCACTGAACACAATGTGACACCACTGTCCTAAGAGGTGGAGGTAGAGCTCCCCAGTGAACACATTACCCACATGACAGTCCTTGGTTCCCTCTTCTAGTTCTAATCTCCCCAATACCTACTGCAGTGCCTTCTGCTGAGGCCACTCCTCCAGGCTACATCATACGTTCTCTTCAAGGACAGACTTCTCAGAAACCTCAGCTAACCCATACCACCTTAGACTATTCTTTCCCCAACTCCAACTCCCCTCACATTATTTAAAATCTCCATCTCCTTGTACCTTCTCCAAGGCCAAGCTTTCGCAAGTAACTGGAACGCTTCTTTACTCGCACTACAGGCATTTTCAACAACTGGGGGCTTTTCTTCAAGGCCACATACACAGGCTCTGGATTCACACCCAAGAGTATAAACTCTGAAATGATGTCCAGCAACTGTTGAGGGCTGGCATGCGGCTGTATACTAAGCAATTCATTAATATGGACATCACTGAAACCCATGTCCAGCAGAGTACAGACAACCTTCTCTAGGGTCAATGGCCCTCCATCCACAGAAGTTCTCTGCTTCTCAGGGAGGCAATGAACAGTATTTGCCCGGCTCTCTAGTTCCTGCACACACTTCTTGGATACAACCAAGGGTAACTCCTCAAGGCCCCCTCCACCGGCGGCTATTGTCAGTTTACAGAACAAAGAAGCAGTTGTCCTTTTCTGTTCTCCAAGGTGAGGAGTCAGCTTAGCCAAACAGACCCAGGTGAGGGGGATTTGGTGGTGCAAATCAAAAACCTGTAAGAAACAAAACCAGAAGAGAATCAATTCCACACAGTATAATAAACACCATAAAATGTTCGAGCCAGGGTATTTAATACCTTGATTCCACACAAGTGTAAGTATTACAAGCAATATGAAAAGTCACATCTCAACTTACAACTTACAACTTACAACAAGAAGCTCGGGTAAACCAAACAGGGTAATGCAAGTGGAGACATAGAGTCAGGCATGCACCCTCGGGTGAGCTTTGCTAACTGTGGGGCTGGTGGGGAGAAAAGGAGACAGAGTCCTGGTTTCACAAAGTCCAAGGATAAAGTTCCAAACTAAAGAAGGAACTTAGGAGAGTTTATTGGAAATAAAAGCTGGCAGCATCTATCACGAGGGAATTCTAACAGAAGTCCAGACTGTGTTCCCTTGTCCTGCTCATATATGAATAAGCAGAAGGGAAGAGTGAGAGAAAAAAAAAGAAGTTCAAAATAAACTGGTTATTTTACATTTCTAGTAATTCTCAAAGTCTGGTGGTACAGAGGTGCTGTTAACTAATACTTTGGATATGAGGAAGAGTCTCCATTTTTCTTTTGGAACCCTAACCTTTTGTCTTTTTTTTTTTTTTTGGTACTGGGAATCGAACTCAGGACCTTCCGCTTGCCAGGCAGGCGCTTGTGCGGCTGAGGTATATCTCCAGCTGCCTAACCTTTTTTCTTTTTTCCTAAGCTTAGCTAGCCGCTTGAATTAGAGCTTAATCCAGTGGGCTGTTACCTTTTTACAGACCGGAACGTTATGCTGCTGACTGCCTACTCACAATAACTGGACTACTACACTGTCTCAAGACCATCTGGCAATATATGCTAAACATTCTAAACCGCGAAAGAATCTTCAGATTCATTACCTAAATGCATTCCACAAGAACATTCTTGGCTACAGTGTCTACCAGGCAACCCGAGCAGAGATACCCCGCTGGCCTCCAGGGCTCAGGCCAGCAGATGACAAGCACAAGCCGCTCGAGCCCTCAGACTCCTCTCACCGGCCCCCAAGCCTTTTCCGGCGTCGAGAGCGCAGCGCCCGCCCGCTCGCCCGACCGCGCACCCGCTGCTCTCCCGGCCCTGGGCCGCCCGCCGGGCTCCCTGCTACGCCCTCCGCGGGGACCCCCAGCGCAGCGCCCCCGGCCAGGCGCAAGCGCGCCGACCTCCCCGGAAGCCGCCGCCGCCGCTCGGTGCCCCAGCCCTTCCGCGGCCCGTCCACCGCGGCAACTAACTCCTTTGCTCCTCCGCCCGCCTGCGCGCGACCGGGCGGACCCCGGAACCCAGTTCCACATTACCCGCCTGGCCAGCACAGCCATAACGCTGAGGCAGCGGCGCCGGAAGTAGCGCCTTCTCCAGCCTCTCACTTCCGGCGCCCGGTCCGTCTCCGCCTCCCTCCCCAGCACCGCCGCGGCCGCGAGGGCCAGCGTTCCGAGCGCACGGGCTCCCGGCTGCATCCTCGGGCGCCTACGTTCCCGGTGGCTCCGTGGCTGGCTAGTGCGGCTCACGTTCAGCTGGCTAGTGGAGAGGGGTCCTCAGGACCCGAGCAGTGATGGCCACTGCACCGCCTTCTCCCCGCCTCGCAGAACCAGCCTCTCCAGGGGCTCGAAGGAACGCCGCCGGCCACACTTCGTACCCGAAGTTAGGGCTGCCTGCCGCCCGGCCGTTTCCTGGAGCACCTTGGTGACAGCGCAGGTGCGCCCCAGCTCCTTACGGAGCCAGCCCCGGACGCTGTCTACAATCCGTGCTCCACGGGAGTATCCGGCCGCCACAATCCAAGCGAAGCCCTAGCCGTTTACAAACACATGGCCCAAGTAACAGGACGGGAACCAAGGCGCATCCTCTTTCTAGCCAGAGCCTGTTCTCCGCTGAGGAGGAAACAGCACTGCCCCAGCCTACTGTATTCGAACTTCCGGCCCAGACCTGTTTGGGCGGAGAGCAGAGACATCTTTCAAGGGAGGTCATGGGGTGACAGTGCTGGGTGGGCAGCAGTCTTGCTGGACAGCTGACAGCTGGCAGCCCCGGCCCTGCGCAGCTGTGCGTGAAGGGCTGAGAATATCGCGCCCTAGTCCTCCCGGAAGGGGATGCTTCAGAGTCCTCATCCATCTCTGGCAGGGCCCCTGGGGAGGAACACCGTGCTGACTGAGCCTAGATTTCTCTCTTGCTTCGGCAAGTAGGGTGCACAAATGCAAAAATTAAGAAACTTGGTGCTTCTCACACTGGGCAAAGTGGAACAATTTATGCAGTCCCGGGGCTGGGTAACTGTTTATCAGCATAGCTGCTTTAACTTGGAAACTGTTCAATGAAATAGTCTGATTCACAATCAGAAGCCTTTTAATAGTATAAAATAATTATATACTAGAATGCTTTTCAAGGTCACAAAAAAACATGAATTCCAAGTCCACTTTATAAACTTTGAGAAAATATAGTACCACTGGCTTTTGTCTTACCACCTATCAAACTTGCACCTGGGTTTATAGAAGGTGAACTGGACCAGTTCTTAACAATTTACTTTCTCCAAGTGGAAGGGGTCCAAAGTCCACAGTTTTCCAGAATGAGTGGAGATGAGCATGGGAAGCCCACGTTCAGCTGGCTAGTGGAGAGGGGTCCTCAGGACCCGAGCAGTGATGGCCACTGGACGCCTCTTCAGGGTCAGGGCCCCCCTGGAACCTTGGAGCCTGGGCTGCTTCACTCAGGCTCCTGCTGCCTGTCCTGCATTCCAAACTGCCGGTGGACAGCAGGCCACTCTCTGAAGGAGAAAGAAGACACTGTATTGCAGACTAACAATAACAAGACACTAATGTACTTTCTCACTATAAGTCCGAAGAACACAAGAATTGGTGGGGAAAGACGGGCAACAGAACCTGCTAAGGAGTGAGGTGATTCTGAGCCCAGAGCCAGTCAACTCTGTCTGCCTGCTCTGTGCCAGGGTTCTGGCTTAAGCCAGGAGCTTTGTCTGAAATGCTGCTCTGCCACCACAAGCCTCAGAGCAGCAACCTCAGCATCTGTGGCCACACCCCACCAGCAGCTGCACTCCAACCATCCACCTCACTGCCCGGGGCTCCCACCCTCCAAGTCAACAGCCACACTGAACTGGGGGCTTCCAGGGCCTCTGGCATAGAAACAAGCCCTGACACTCACATCCAGGACAGCAGGGAGGAGAAACCTCATCCTGGAAGGCAGCCTGGCTTCCTCCCCATTCCAAGCAAAGCCACACAGAGAGGGAGGAGTGGAGCCTCTCACCTGGCTTGCTGGTACTGCACACCTCCTCCCAGGTGTATTTAGCAAGGTTCACAGGCTGCGTCACCCAGGGGTCTGTCACCAGCTTCTCCAAGGTGGTGCGCTGCTCAGGGGCAGGCTGCAACAGCCCAGAAATGAGGCTCATGAGTTCTGGGGACATAAAGAACACAGGCCAGGGGCCTCGTTGGGATCAAGGGCAGCATGCCTCAGACCACAGAATCCCAAGCGCCCTGCCCCTCAGAGCCTCTGACAGAGAAGGGGACAGCCAGGAGCCTGGGCTCTAAGGCCTGGTCTGATGGCCCTGCAGATAGCTTGTTCCATTTGAAATGAAAGCCCAGAGTCGAAAATCCATCATGCTAAGACCTAGAAGGCCTGAGCTTCCTCCTTAGTCCATTCCCAGAAGCCCTGAACACCCAGGGTGGGCGTGGCAGGTGGAAGGAGCAGCTGGCTAGAGTGAGCCCAGATCAGCCTGTGGGAAGCACAGGGAGCTCTGAGGACCAGCAGCCTTGGGTCTGGATTTGGGTCCCACTTGCCCCAACAGTGTGGGGTCAACCCAGCCAGAGCCACGCAGGCATCCCTATCCGAGACCCCATCCTCCAACCTAGCGAGAGAGCACCCAGAACTGCCTCTGTAGGTGGAACCTCGAGCCACAGGGCCGTAGCACCTCAACAATCCAAAGCTTCAGCGAAGATGCACTTCCAGGCTGAGTCTCACCGCCACCCACGCCAGGTGTGTATACTGAAGCCCAGACCCTGATGTGATGGTATGGGGTCACTGGGAGGTTGTTTGGAGTCGATAAGCTCCTGAGGGAGGCGCCCCGATGGGATCGGTGTCCTTAAAGAGGAAACGATGAGGCGCCCTCTCTCCCTACCATGTGAGGACCTGTGAGCCAGCACCCTGACCTCTGAGTTCCAGCTCCCAGAACTCTAAGAATAACTGTCTGCTGTCTCAAGCCCCTGCCTGTGGACTCCATGACAACAGCCTCAGCTACAGAGGCTTCCAACCTAAGTTAAGAACACAGACTGCCTGACAATGCTCCTCGCCTCCCAGCTATTAAGGTGACTGTGATAGAACTGCATGCTGTCAGATGGGAAGGGCCCAGTGCTCCTGCCAGTTCTCCTCCGGGCTTGGGAAGGCTTTCTGGCCATGGACCCCACATCGGCCTCACCACACCAATCCTCAGCCCAGATGTAAACCACTCCTCAGCCCCAAGGAGGGCTGCGCTTCCCGCGGTCACAATACTGGGGGCGGGGGCGGGGGGTCACAATGTGACTGACATCCCAGGCTTCCACGTGAGCTGCTGGGGGTCTAGTCCCTGCCACACTTCGACATCCCCTCCACATGCCAGGGGTTCGGCTCTACGTGCCTGATCTTACCATTGCTGCCCCTGACAAGGACCCTAACTGCAAAGTCTATTGCTCACAAGGGGGCCTGGAAGATCCTAGGGATACCAATAAAAATTCAATTGTCAAAATGTTTTCAAGTCATATTCAAATTTTTCTTGCATTCAGATCAAAGAATTAGGAAAAAGAGAGAGGTGAACGATGTCACTGGTATGGACAGAGAGGGAGGAGAGGGAACTAAGTGTGATAGTACCTGCCCTCAACCCCTGTCTGCTCCTCATCCTCGGGAGGCTGAGGCAGGAGAATCACCATGAGTTCGAAGCCAGCCTGGGCTACATGGTGAGTTCAAGGCCAGCTTGGATTACATAGCAAGACCCTATCTCAAAAAAACAAAAAGAGAAAGAGCAAGAGGAGAGGGAGGATAGCAAGAGCTGTTCAGCTCTCAGGACGGTGGAATCCATGTGCCACCTGTGCCCGTGCTCACCTTGGGACACCAGGTACGGGGGGTGGATGGTGGCCTCCATGGTCTCTTCCACCTCACAAAAGGGGTTCTCCTCAAAGATCAGGGTGTACAGTGTGACACCGAGAGACCACATCTCCAGCTCCGGCCCTCTGTAGCTGTTGGGGGAGGAAAGGACATTTCAGGCCTCGGCGCCCCACACATTCTTGCTCAGCCCCACAGGGACTCGGACCTCCCTAGCCAGCCACAGGCTCCCAGGGGACTACAGGGATGCAGGGGCCACAGGCAGCGTCAGAACAGGGTGGTACAGTCAGAGTAGGTGAAACTCCGCAGGACAGAGTGTGGCCCCAGCCAAGGGACGGGCAGGTGGGAGGCAGCGCCGAAGGAGCAGGCCTGGGAGGAGATGCGACTGTGCCGGTTACTACTTCCCGCCATCGTAACCCTCAGCCAAGCCCAGCGCGTAGGTGGAAGAGCTCTCATCCTACACTCCAGCAAGACGGTGTCACCCTCCCTCTACAGAGGAGAGCAGCGAGGCTCAGGGAGTGGGAGAGCTGCTGGGCAGGGCCTGGAGCTGGGCAGCGCATCCAGGGCTGCCAGGACGCTGCATCTCAGGCTCTGGTGATGGGGGAGCCTGACTGAGACTCCTATGGGAACTGGTGGCTGCTCCCAGAGCCCTGGTTAGACACAGGTACCCACAGCAGCCACGGCGCAGAGAAGTGGGCTGTGGGAAGCTAGGGCCATCACAGGCAGAAAGCAGGCAGGCCCGGGAGCTGCACAGGGAGAGGCAGGCAGGGGAGCTGGGGTAGAACAGCACTGCAGGCTGCGGTAGGCACAGAGGGACGAGGAGAGCAAGAAACTGACTTGGATTTGGAGCAAGAAAATCAAGTCAGATAGCCTGTGTCTGCGTCATTTCTGCTTTACAGAGAAAGATTTCCAGATGTTCGAGAGAAAGATCCACTAGAGCAAACAGCAGTGGGGCAGCTCTTTCTACAAAGGGATAGGAAATAAATGTGCAGGGCTGCGGGCCACGTGGTCTGTGCCAACTCCTCAGCTCTGCCGTGGGACACAAAAGCAGCCCCAGACTGGAAGAAAGCAAATGAGCTCATCGCTTCCACTGACAGAAACAACACAGCCATGTTCACAGCCGTGTTTCCTCACAGCCGACCCTCACAGCCGACAGGAGGTGCAGCCCAGGCCTCCACCAACCGCGGAAACAACAAAGTGCAACCTGGACATACAAGGGCCTGGGAGCTTGGGAAGTGGGGGATTCTGCCCCACAGTGCAACACGGGTGAACACCAAGGTCATCACACTCAGTGAAAGAAGCCAGTCCAAAGACAATACTATGTGATTCCACATGGTGGCGCACGCCTATAATCCCGGCACTCAGGAGGCTGAGGCAGGAGGATTGTTACAAGTTTGAGACCAGCCTGCGCTACAAAGTGAGCTCCAGGCCAGCCTGCACTGCATAGCAAAACCTTGTCTCAAAAAGACCAAAAAAAAAAAAGAGGGGGCTGCTGGGGATATAGCTCAGAAATAAGGCCCTGGGTTCAATCCAAGTACCCAAAAAAAAGAAAGGAGGAAATGTTCCTCAGGATGGAATCTGGAACCTGAATCAGAACTCAGAAAGCCTTTTGCCCAGCTGGGTGAGGTGGCATACAGCTATAATCCCAGCTACTCCCAAGACTGAGGTAGGAGGACCTCAATTTAAGAGCCCAGCCTGGGCAACACAGTAAGACCCCTTTCTCAGAAAAACAAAACAACGAAAGTTCCTGCAAGAAAGCCCTGTGCCCACTCAGATGGGGAGAAGATGGGGGAGGGATAAGGAGCTCACAAGACAAGCCCCTGGCCAAGGCCAGAGAGCACTGCTGAGGAGAGGGACAGGACCGCAGGGCAGGGCAAGCCTCAGGGGACAGGCAGGGTAGGGGGACAGGGAGGAGGCCATGAGCAGCACTGAGCTGCTCATGACCAGGCCCACAGCAGCAGGACTGGCCCAGGGCAGCAGCACAGCCATGAAGCACACATCATGGGCCAGCAGGCAGTGGACGAAGCTCCCCTTCAATACCAAGGACGGAGCAGCCACTGCAGAACACGGCAGAGCCAGCCACGCTCATTGGGTTCCAGGGAATCCTGCCAGATCTGAAGAACCCCGAGGCCCTCCTTTGCCCATGGCCCAGTGTCTCTCCCTGTGGGGACCCTGAGCACATGAGGACCCGGACCTGGAGGCACTGTTTACTCTGCAGCTGGCAATGTCCAGGAACCACACAGGGGCCAGGCTGGCCCAGGCTGGGCAGCCACACACCGCCTGTGAGGAAAGTCCGGAGCAAACCCAGGGCCAGGGTTTCAGGAACCAGTATTTCCTGGCTCCAAGATGAAGCACCCTCATCTGGGCCTTGATCCCGTCCCCACCCTCCCAGTCACTGAGCGGTTTCTCGTGAGAGCTAAGAGCCAGCACAGGGACAGCAGCAGCTTCGAGCGGAGCCTGCACTCATCAGAACCCACAAACCAGCTTGGGACATCTCTTCTTCTCTTATGGAGAGCCCTCATCTTCACCAATCACATTTCCCTAACTTTCTAGTATGGTAAACTCCAAACATAAACAAATGTTGAGGAAATAATAGAATGAACTCATGCCTGCTGCCTGGCTTCCTGTGACCAATCTTACTTTGCCTGTTTCTTCACTTTTCTCCAAAACGTTACCCTTCTCACTCAACATCTTCATGACAAAGGCACAGACCGAAGCCATCCTGCCCCAGAATCAAACCAACTGGGCCAGCAGGACAGGCAGCGGACACGTGATACATACGGGTTCCCCATGAGAACTTCGGGGGCGCAGTACTCGATGGTCCCACAGAAAGTGTAGAACAATTTGCCCTTTTCCAAGTAGGCAGCTGAGCCAAAGTCGATCAGCTTGATGGTAAAGTCCTCGGCAATCACGATGTTCTCGTCCTTGATGTCCCGATGAATGATGCCTTTCGAGCGCAGGTACCCCACTGCTGATACCAGCTGGAACCAGAGCCAAAGTGGGCTTTTTAAAGAGCAAGAAGTAAAACATGCATCTAAAATAAACAACATCCCCTCCTCTTCCTCCAAAAAAGTGGGGATTAATTTTTTGTCCTATACATGCCAAAAGTACTGTCAAAATGCCACCAACTCTTCTGTTTGGCCTGTTATTCTGATTGCTACTGTGCATTAAATTTTTTAATTAAAAAATAAAATAAACAATGACAAAGAAAAAAAACAGACATTTTCCAGTGCCCAAGTCTGGATGCTGGAGATCTGATTCAAGACCAACGGGCAGCCCCACCAGCATCTCAGTGAAGAACAAGACAGGACACAAAGCAGACGCTAAGAAATCCATGGTAGTTAGTGTGGGCTGGGGGCAGAACAGAGGTGGCACCAGAAGGTGCCACGCAGACAGACACAAGGAGGCCAGCACAGAGTTCAGGCCACAGCTGGGGGCAGCATGGGTGTGACGCTCCTGCTACTGGGCTCAGCACCTCTGAGAAGGGCAGCATGCAGTGTCTGCCATTCTGCTGCAACGAGCGGATCTCCCACCAAGGAGAAAGCTCTGGAACAGGCTCCTCTCCACAGCCACGGGGCATGCCCACTTGCCCACACACTGTGTCTGCCTGCCCACTCTGAACCCCCGGGACAGGGTCCACCAAGTCGGCCTTGTCCCCAAGCAAGGAAGACTCAGCTGTCTGACTGCATCACAGCTGGGACACCATCCAGACTGCTCAACTTAATGATCTCAGGGATGAGGGCAATCAGTTTGATCTTTGAAGCAACTTTACATTTACAAATGAATCAGAAGCAATGATTAATGGCAGGTGAACTAAGCCCAACCAGTTAACTTACATTTAATTTAAAAAACGAATATTTACATACACATACACAAAAAACTACATCTACCTGCATGTTTCCATTTGCACACAGATCTATATATGCACATGTGTACATGCCTCCATATACACGTGCATATACTTGTACATTCAGACATGTAAATATACCTAAACATGCACATGACGCACAGGCACACATACGTAGACACATTCAGAGCAGAACCAGTCAGGAGACAGAAATTCCACTTCAGTCACAACATGGGAAGTCTCAGTGAGATGTGCTGACTGGTGCCCTGCCCTGGACCCACAGAGCTGCCCAGCAGAGCCGTTCACGAGCCCTAGCCCTCACCGAGCAAGCCTTGACAGGCCAGGAGCTGAGAGGTGATATGCTGACCCCCAGTACTGTTTATATGTATGCATATAGAATTATAGGTCTGTGTTTACAGGTAACAACACAGGTACATATATATATATATATATATCCACAAGGTCCACAGAAACTTTTTGCCCAAATTTTAACATATAAAACACCATAAACTAGGTATGGTGGCGTATGCCTACTGTAACCCTGGCACTCTGGAAGGCTGAGACAGGAGGACTGAAAATTTAAACCCAGCCTGAGCAACTTAACAACAGCAAGACCCTGTCTCAAAATAAAAATAAGATGGGCTATTGAAGCACACCATGCGAAGGCCTTCAATTCTCAGCACTGCGAAAAACAAAACCATGCACCATGTCATCAGCCCAGAATTAATAACTGGGAGGGGGCAGCTTTCCCAGGAGGCTCCTGAGACCACTGCATAGACTTTCTGCACATAAGGTTTCAGACACAAACCTGCCACACACTGAAGCAGACAAACACATAACCTTCCAACACAGGAAGGGGGAGGCGAGTGACACTCTTCTGGCATAACCATGAAGCCTGAAACTCACGAAGGAGGTGCCTGAGAAACTCAATTTCAGAAATCAGGTGACTTCTGGAAGTTTATACCTTTGAGGGAAGAAAAGTTCACATTTGGAACCTGTGAAGGGCAAATGGAATTGTCACACAGCCCCTCTCTGGTCATTTTTCCTCCCTTGCCAGGGATCTGGGAACAAACTACGGTGGAACCACCCCTCTCCTTGTGACTCAGTGACAGCTACTGTGCCTTCCCACCCTGCCTCTTCTAGGGTGCTTTTCTGTCCTCCTGAGCGCTCTCTCATTCCAATAAAGTATCAGTGGACAAAGATCAATACACAGTTAGACACAAAACAGATCGCATCGGGCTGGGGATTTAGCTCAGCGGCAAAAGCGCCTGCCTGGCAAGTGCAAGGTCGTGAGTTCGGTTCCCGGTACCGGAGAAAAACCAAAAAAAATAAAAAAATAAAGTGGCAATACAAATTTAAAAAAAAAAAAAAAAGATCGCATCAAATACTGCGAAATGAGACTGCCCCAGTCTCGTCTTGCTGATTAACTGACAGCACTTTTCCTGCGCTGTATGCCTATCTTGGGGGCACTCTCTGGTTTAACCCTAACCCTTACTGTGCAGTACAATAGTTATCCAACTACACAGACCAGAAGATTGAGGACAGCAGTGATTTCCCCAAGGCCTCACGCCTATGAAGACAAGAATTCAGATCAAAATCACAGAGCTCACAGCTCAGGGACCCCTGTGTGGGTTAGTACTTGTAACTGATGTAGCCATTGTACTTATATAGATAAATCTTAATCACTAAACACACTTCCTCGCTCACTGCAGGGTGGTATTTGGCTTCTTTCTTCCCAACCTCACTTTCTGTACTTCAACCATCAAATTCTCTTCTCAAAATATGTGTCTTACCCATCAGATCCTAAAGCTGAAGGCTAGGTCCACTCACAGAGACGCGGGCCTGCACCACTGATCTGTGCAGCCACTGGCCGAGCACCCCAAAGCCACATCTACCCAGCACAGCACCAGCCCGCCTCACCTGCCGGAAGATGTAGCTGGCCAGGGGCTCGTCCAGGCTGGGGTGCTGGTCGATGAAAGCAAAGAGGTCCAGGCCAGAGCCGTGCTTCTCCATCACCAGCTGGAAGAATCCTGGGTTTTCAAATACATCCACTACCTAGAAAAGACAGTGCCGTGTCCAGCTCACTTGAAATATCTTTTTTTTTTTTTGTCTTTTTTTTTGAGACAGGGTCTTGTTCTGCAGTTCAGGCTGGCCTTGAGCCCACTTTGTAGCCCATGCTGGTCTCGAACTTGCAACAATCCTCCTGCCTCAGCCTCCCAAGTGCTGGGATGACAGGTGTGCACCACACCTGGCTAGTTGAAATATCTTCAATCAGCAAATTTTACAGGGACACAGCTGCACAGGAAATCACCATAGATACCTTGATGATGTTGGAATGCTCCACGCTGGACAGAATTGCAATCTCTAAAGTGACTTTTCCAAGTTTGGAGTCCTCAATCCAACAATCCTCCAAAACCTTCTCCTTCTTAATAAACTTCACCACCACCTATGAGGAAAAGGAGGGTAGAAATAAGTAGAACTGTTCCTGACATGACATTAGTTCCTCCAAATCACAGGGTGCCAAGACCACACATCCCAACAGCACAGGGGCGGGGGAGTGTGTGGACAGTAAGCACTGAGGCTACCGGGCAGAGGAACACATAGACACTCAATGCACCCAGAAGGGCACCCAGCACACAGCAAGCACAGGCCTACATACATGTCGGGCACCACATACAGGCCACCCCAGGGCTGGGAAGGGCGTCTGTTGGTTAGTTTGCTGCTTTGTTTGTTCAGTGGCAACTTTTTTTCCAGTTGAGCAGAGACCTAAGCTCAGCTTTAAAAGCGAGCCTGTGGTGCCCACGAGTAACAGCGGGCCACATGGGCAGCAGGAGAATGGTACACAGCCTACACTCAGAGAACAGGGACAGAAGAGGCAGACAAAGCCTCAGTGTGGATCCCCTAGGGCTGCGGTGCCTGCAGGAGCGAGGTCTGAGTCTGAGATACGACAGGACCATTGCCTGGGTGTCAGTGGGTATCCGGTCAGAAGTGCCCACCTTGAAACCAGAAACCGCCTACATGCCAGCCTGAGACCTCAGTGCTCCCTTCCCAGCGACAATCCCAGATTCCAAGAGCCAGGGACCCAAAGTTGGGGCTACTCCCTGCGAGCCTCAGAGCACCTCCTTGTTTTGTTCCTTGTCCACAGCGATCCACACGAAGCCGAAGGCCCCACTGCCAAGGGGGCGCTGGGTGCTGTACTTGCATGAGTACTCGCCCTCACAGGCCGCCAGCCCCTCCAGCTCCACAGGCGTGGGGGCCTCCTCAGCCCAGGGCTTGGCTCTGAGCACCTGTGAATGCAAAGGAAGGTCTGTGGGCACATGCACGCAACGGAGGATGGGGGCATCATCACCCCATCCCCAGCACAGCAGCACCCTCACCCACACTGCCTTCCTCCCGTGCCACGGGGAGCTGACTGGGAAACTGTCCTGGGGCCCCACTGTGCACACAGTGATTATGCAGATTCAGAGCCTGCATCTGCTTTACCCTCATGCAGGACACTAGAAGGCAGCATCACAAAGCCACAGACAGACCCTCCTCCCATCCTGGCAGAGACAGCAATGCCACTGGGAAAAGCTGGCACACTGGGGGTACAGAGACACAGCCTGAGCTACCTGACACCGACCTCCCCGAGACCGGGTCCTGGGGGCTCAGGCATGGAGTGGGTGGAGCTGGGCAGGCTGGCAAGCAGCAGGCGGGTCCTGGTGGCCGAGTCACGGTGGCTGTGCAGGAGGTCCTTCACCAGCCAGCAGCAGAACAGGCTCGTAGGGCCCTGGAGCTCCACCCGCTTCACCTCAAAGCATATGCCTGGGGGTGAGAGGTGGGATGGCACCATGCTGAGCTTGCCCCTGCCAGGTGACAGTGTTAAGACTCAAAAGCCTGCCACCCAGAGCAGCCTGAGGACCACCCAGAAGCCCTGGACAAGGGGGAGAAAAGCCCTGAGCACCAGCAGGAAAACCACCACCAGAGCCTGCTGTGCAGCCAGGAGCCAAGATCCAAGGACACCTGCAGGAAGCTGCTGGCCACCCCAGCTCAGAAAAGCCAGGACAGGGCGTTCTCCCACCTTCAGGGGCAAGAACTGACTGGAACCTGAATGGCTGTGTTAAGGCCACAAGCACAGATGCACAGTGCAGTTACTCACAGCCATATTAACCTTGTACACCATCATGAGGCACTAGTACTTCTGTGAAAATGTGCGCGTCTTCACGTAGCTGCCTAAGTGCATGGGATCTGCTTTTTGGCAGAGGGTTTATAGCTAATTTTATTTTCTTGTTCACATTTTCTAATACTTACACAAATAATATCACCTAAGTATTTATTTTTAATTTAGGAAAAGAACCATAGCATTCAATGATTCAAAATCAGTCATGTGGAAACAGCTGGCCAAAACACTATGGCCCTGTCAAGAAATGAGGAAAGTAAAGCAGACAGCATCAACCTGGTCCTCACGCTCTGCACAGAATGGGGTTTTGGGGAGACCCGAGTAGCACTGCACCCAAAGCATCTGATGAGCAATGAACAGCAATCCTGGCTTCTCAATGTGACCTGGGGGAACAGACCCTAGCATCATACCACCCATTTCTGAGCCTGGCAAGGTCTCCCTGGCTGTCATAAAGAGTGGTCTGAGAAGCAGGAATGACACACGATCCTTTAACAAAGCCATTCAGAGACAGAACCCTTGCAGACCCCAGGCCTAGGGCATCCCTGGACCTGCTGTGCTGAGCTCCTGGGGCCACATGCCCACCCCCAGGGCCGGGGACATACTCAGCCACAAGCCATCTCGGTGATAGCAGCTCCCTGAGTAGGTGCCCTCCTGGATCTCCCGACATGGGCTGGCAGCCCCAGGCGTCACAGGGGTAGAGGTGATCCAGGCACTCAGCCTCAGGTCCTCTGCAGGCGGACAAGTACCCTCCTGGCAGGTGTCCACAGCAGGAAGGACACAGCCGGGGCTTTCTGTGTTACTGGCTTCACAATGTTCAGAGGACAGGTACATCTCAGGTAGTTCTGTTGGATCATGCTCTGGGCAGCTCTCCTGGGACCCTCGGCCTTCCCCAAGATCAAAATAGGTGCCAGTCAGTAGTAACCGCTCTCTGTCACCCAGAGCACCTGGCCCCTGCCTGTGGAGCATGTCCACATCGAAATCAGAGCTCACCGCTGAAGGAGAGGGCGTTGCCCCAAGCTCAGATGTCGCACAGGAACAACTGGAGGAAGTTCCATCTGTGTCGTCACTGAGAAGGAGCTCCCTAAGGTTCCAGGAGCAGGAGTTCATGGTGGCCTCCCGGGCTTCCACTGCCTCCAGGACACCAGGGAGGTCGGTGGCCAATGCGTAGCAAGCAGAGGAGCTGCCCAGGTGGCTGCCACGCAGGTCTCTGCCCCCCAGGCTGCTGGAGAGGGAGGCACTGCAGGGTCGGTGCTCTGCAGGGACAGGCTCCAGGCGGGAGATGCCCAGAGCTCTCCCAAAGCTCAACCGGGACAGCTGCTCCTTAACCAAGCACACCTGTAGCTCTTCACGATTGGCTCTCCCTCCCGGCCACGGCTCATCCAGGGTGGGTGTTCCAAATGAGACACAGGCCACCCCTGGGGGGCTGGGCGCCAAGTCTGGGCTTGGCGGCCGTAGGAGACACTCGCTCCTATAATGGGGGCAGTACGTCAGGAGGCCCCCTCCTGCTGGCTGCCCTGCAGTGTGGGGTTCAGGCCTGGTGGCACCGGCCTGAGGGCTGGCACTGCTGGCAGCCATCAGTGCCCGCTGAGCTTCTTCATGGCCCCACATTACAATGTCACTGCTCCTGTCCTCGGGTGGGACTGGAGAACTGGGGTCTTCACAGGAAACAAATGGTATTTTGTCCTCTGGTTCAGATCTGCTTTCTCCCAAAAGCTCCTGCAAGCAGATCTGTGCTACTGCAGGCTCTGCCCTCCCCAAAGCAGCGAACTGCTGGTACCTGAGCAGTGACCCCGCACCAAGGGCTGGAGGGCTTCCTTCTCGGCTGTCCTGAGGGTCCTTGGGCAGCACCCTCTCTCCAGGGGAGGGTGAGCTTTCCTCTGAGGCATCCTGCTGGTTCTCAGATGGTGACTGCTTTTCATGGGCTGGCACATGCCCCTCTGGGACACTCCGCTGGTCTGTGGGTAACAACTGTTTGTCCTGGGCCAGTGGGTGCCCCTCCGGGATACTGTCTGCCCTGGGAAAAGAGATTCAGATGCTAATGTCACTAGTGGCCACAGAAGAGCCTAAAGGAGAAACCACATCTTGGGCCAAGGATATAGCTCAGCGGCACAGGGCCTGCCTGCCAAGCCTAAGGTCCTGAGCTCCATTACCAGTACCAAAAAACAAAAGAAAACAAAAAAGAAACCAAGGCCAGGCATGGTGGCTCATGTCTGTAATCCCAGCACTCAGGAGGCTGAGGTAGGAGGATCGTTGGGAGTTCGAGGGCAGCCTGGGCTACAAAGTGAGTTCAAGGTCAGCCTGAACTACATAGGGAGACCCTGTGTAGTGGATTGATAACTGGTGGTCAACTTATAACCCTCAGCTGAACTGAGTGAGTGGTGCTGGGTGTGGGAGGCCCACCTGAGGACTGTTGCCAGCAGCATAAGAGGCAAGAAGCGGAGAAGAAGAAGCGGGGCTGTTGGGAGCTGGGAGAAGCTGTTGGGAGCTGAGAGAGACCATGAGGAGCTGGCTTCCTGATGAACTTGGCTGCTTTCATCCTCCGAGGAGCTTGGGACCTCGCTGGCACTGAGAATGGCTTCAGTTCACTTTGGGGAGCTCTGGTCCTCACTTTGAGCATAGCTTCCTGGTTCCAGAGGGGAAGATGGTGCATTGCCAGCCTCCTGGAAAAGCTTGCTGCATTGGCTTCCCTGATGGGAACTCGGCCATCCTGGTCATCGGAGGAGCTCGGGACCTCACTGTTGCCAGCGATGGCTGTGGTACCTTTTGGGGGAGCCCTGGTTCTTCTGAGCATCACTTCCTGGCTCCAGTGCAGATCCCTCAGCCTGCTAGTGCAGATCCTTCTTCCTGCTGGCATAGACTTTGTAGATTCTACCACTGACCTTTGGGCCTTTCCAGCGGATCCGTGAAACAGGCCTGCATGGGACGTTGTCATGGGTTCTGGGCCTCCAGTTGGATTCATGGAAGGCATTATTATGAGCTCTGGGTATTTACCTCAACTCATGTAGGACATTGTTGTGGGATCCAGGCCCTCAGCTGGATTCCTTGGTCTTAGTGTGTGGACAGATTTCCTGCACTCTTTTGTATACTGTTCTTTGGGTGACTTATAAATAATCATATAAAGTATGTGTCCTGTATTATGTTGTTCCCCTTGCAAAATAAGCCGCCCCAAACCAACACACCCTGTTTCAAAAAGACAAAAAAAGAAAGAAAGAAAACAAGACCAGTCTGGGCTACAAAGTGTCAAGGCCAACCTGAACTGCACAGGAAACCCTGTGTCAAAGAGACAAAAAGAAAGAAAAGAAACCACTCTTGACTAGCCCTCTCTTAGAGACAAGTACAAACTGTATCACATCACAAATGTGAAACAAAAAAGACTAAATTTTATAACCCAGTTAAAAAACAAAACCCCTCTCCAACGTTTTCCATAAAATCCACATTTGCTGAAGATTTCTCAGCAAATGCTCCTGGAAACCCACACTGCAGTGAGAAACACATGCTTGGCTTTGCAGCACCCACCCCAGTGGTCCCAGACCTCCCGCTGGCCACACCTTTAAGTGAACCACCCAGCAGCTGCCTTGGTCCTGAAGAGACCTGATCCTGGGGATGCACTGGGGGCTGGCACAGGTGAGCCCTGGCAGCTCTCCCCATCTCCTTCCTTGCCTGCTGATGCGCTCACAGCAAGGAGAGCCAGGTCTGAGCTTCTACACTGTCCAGTTGTACCCCACAGGCAGACAGGAAGAAGTGAGGGAGTCAAGGTAAATGAAGGAAGCACCTGCCATAGACCAGAGCAGTGGTGCCACCCACGAGGTCCCGGGTCTTGGGAAGACCATCAGACGGGAGCAAGCACACAGGTTCCACTCAAGAGACAACAAACACGGAGACCCCAGCCTTGCTACGGGAACAGAAGTAGCATATGTGCACATACATACATGCATCACACATGTTTACATGCAAACACACAGGAAGACAGGTCTGGCAGGCACCAACTGCACAGCCATGCCCTCTGGAAAGAGCAGGACTGGACCTGGAGGTTGGGAGCAGGTCAAGGGGATCTTACTTTACCACTGTTCTGTGCTTAAAAACAGATTTGTGTGATTTAAAAACAATTTCACAACAATAAGCTGAAAATCCTAACAATGTAGATAAATCTCACAGCTGTAACAAGAGGCAGACAGAAAGAACAGCAGAGAGGAAGCTTGAGGACAGGACTGTGACCCCAGCTCTGTGCCCAGGGGCCTGGGTGTAAAACTCGAGGGCACCAGGGAGCCTGTGGGGCTGGCACAGGAAGATGTGGGTGACATGTGCATGAAAACAGTGTTTTAAAAAGAAGGAAACTTGGATGAAACACACAATAGTAAGCACAGCAGGACTACGATAACAGAATGAATGAGTTTCTGATTCCCGTTTTTCCAAGTTACCTAATGTAAGCATCTTGTACTCTACATAGCATACTGTACTCTACTTAAAATATAGAAAGAGAACAGCATCAAATGATTCTCAAAATTCTACAGAGCCAGTATCAGTCCTCTGAAATCTGCCTCAACATTGCTGCACTCTCAGCAGCCCACTTCCTGACCCATAAGCCCGACAGTGATGTCACGGCACCTCTCACGGAGGCTGGGAAGACCGAGCAGGGTACCCAGGGCCTGTCGTCAAGTGTGGACAGAGTAGTGCCCAGGGTGCACCAGCTGCTACTATCCCCACTAAGCAGGGCTGAACATGCCCTCCCGCATCTGCTGCTGCCACAACCTTCGGCACCCCTGCCACTCTCCACCAGGACTCACCGGGAAGAGGACCTTGCAGGGCGGGCAGCTGGGAGCCAGCACCCAGCTTCTAGCTGTGTCTGCATCCTACCAGAGACTTCTTGGCTTCCCACCAGCTTCCGGGTTTCGTCTTGTGGCAGCACATGATCACCAGCAAGCACTGGATCAACCTTCGGATCTAAGAGCAGCCCAGGAAAGAGCGTTTTGCACTCACAGTCGGGCCAAAAGGAGCACCGTTAGGGCCAGTGCTGAACCTCACTTATAGACACCTGCACTCCAGCATGCAGGACTGTTCGGGACAGCACCCCTACAACACTGCTCTTTTACTTGTTTGTTGTTTGAGTCAGGGTCTCACTATGCAATCCAGGCTGGCCTTGAACTCAGGGTGATCCTCCTGACTCAGCCTCCCGAGTGCTGGGATTACAGGTATCTGTTGCCAGTCTCCCTTATCTCAGTGCCTCTGCCCCGCTGCCCCTGTAGGACAGCAAGCACCCTGCCCTGTGCCTGTCATGCTCCCAGCTCCATAGGCCCCACCAGTACCCCCCCCCCCAGTGGGCCAGGACTTGGGGCAGAACTTTGCCCAGCATGGCAGGGCCCCTCTTCACCGTTCACAGCACCAGCAAGGTGCACAGATGCTGACTCTGTGGGGTGTCGATGGGCTCCTCCTGGGGGTCCCTCAGGACAGGAGGCTGGGCGCTCATGCTGCCTCCACAAACCACCCACTTGTGGCTGTTCATGGAACCGAGACCCAGGAAGCCTCGCTCAAATGACTTACAGTGAGTGCTCAATGAGAACTACAGGGGATAAGCAGCAAGGTCAGCACATATGCCAGGAACAGTTCCTGCAGGAACAAATCTGTTGTGCTACATCAATTTAGTCTTATGCGCCATAGAAGTAAGTAAACTCCCCTAGAATGGCAGGACAGTCAGCCAACTATGTCTCACACATGGGCACAGGTGACACAGTCTTAGGATGTCAGAGACGTCAGGCTGGGCAAGCTGGGGAGCAGGAGGTCGTGTCTCACCCTGGGAGGGGTCCAAGGTCATTTCTCCGCATCCGCTGCCACTGCCGACGTCCAGGCAGCTAGTAAGGTCAGGCTGCTGCAAAGAGCTATTGTATGTGAGGTCCATGTAATGGTAGAAGCCAGGGATCAGGAAAGTGATGTTCTAGGAAGCAGAGTAGGGATGCTTCAGAACCTGAAAGGAACACCCACTCCAACCTCAACCGTCTACTGGGGAGAGGCACAAGCTGTGCCAGCCACCTCTAGGCACTGTACCCCTGGGGGTCAGGCTCCCTTTGACCATCCTGAGGCCCTGGGCCATCAGCCAGACCAGGAACCGCTGGGCACAGGGCTCCTCTCCATCCCCTAGAAGACTGAGGAGATAACCCAAGTGACCACTGATGTGGAGCCTAGGGAAACCTGGGTAGCTGTGGGCAGAGACCCCCCTCACCCCACCCAGGTCCAGGTCCCTCCAGATAATGTACATATGTTGGGCAGCTGTTAGGGACAGGCTCTGTGACACCCACAGATTAGCTGCTTGGAGTAGACAGAGACGTGGCAGCAACAAGCCCCACCTTGCCCAGGAGCTCAGTTTTTCCGTAGCCAAACAGCATCAGCGCAAAGCTGTGGTTGATGCCATAGATGGTGCCATCAGGCAGGAGCGTGATGAGGCCGCTGATGGTGCAGAACACCCACACGGATGCCCAGTAGCCCTGTGCAGGAGCCGCCTCTCCCTCGGCCACTGCCTCCTCGCCGCACTTGGGCTTCAGCTTCAGGCTCAGAGGAAAGGTGGTGCCATCCTTGGCTCTCCCAACAGACCTCTGAATCTCTAGGTTCTAAAACAGACACGCACAGCTCATCTTGTGGACAGAACTGAGCTGCACCACTTTGGACCCCAGCTCCACCAGCACAGCCACAGACAGGGCCAGAGCGGACACATGTGCAGGACAGTAAGAGGACAGGGCTCTGGTCAGGCGCCACGGGCTCTGTGCCAGGCACACGTCCACCTGCTGTGTGCTGGCCTCCAGGGGCTGTGCCTGCTCTTCCTCTGTGCAGGGAGGAACGCAGCATGCTTGTGCCACCCATGGATAAAGGCCTTGGTCTTAGACCGTGTCCCCAGGACCTGCTTGTGTGGGTGGCTCTGGCCCTTTACCCATCTCCTGTCCCTCCACCCCGAAGCACCAGTTTCCTGGTGTCACTGGCTTCTGGGGACGTAACTGAGTCAGTATGTTCATGTAATCAAGTTCCTCCTGCCCTAGTCAGGCAGATCCAGGCCTTTGCATACCTCTTTTTGTTCATAGGTTCCCCCACTCCATCCACCCCGAATGTAGGGAAGCCTCCTCCACAGCACTGCACCCTGACAGAAATCAGGACCCGCTGTCCCCACAGATGCAGGCTGCAGCCAGGTCCCATCAGCCTTCCCTGGCCCCAGGCCCAAGGGAGCCCCTCTGCTGGTTCCACTTGCTGGGGTTCACAAGCATCTTCTGCCGAGAATCTTCAGGACATCTGCCACCTCGTGGGTCAGAAGACAGCCCGTGGGCAGTGGATCCCCGCCAGCTGGACAGCCCAAGTGGCAGCTGCCTCAGGACAGAGTAGAGGGTGCAGAGCACCAGGTGGCTGAGCTTTCCTGGAGGCGTGACACAGTGAACACAGCTCAGGGGCTGAGTCTGCAGGACTGTGGCCTGGGTCATCCTAGAAGGACCATCACCCTCACTGCAGCAGGGCACCCAGTCCACTCAGCCCCTTCCTCCAGGTATGGACATGACATCAGTGAAGCTGAAGCACTCAGGTCCCCGCACAAAGGCCCACACTAGCTAGGAAAAGGGAAACAACCACTGCCCGCACCCAGGCCTCTGCTCCCCACCTGCTAAAGGACGAGCAGTGCTGCCCCAGGGGTGGAATGGGTGATCTCACACGTCAGCCCAGGCTGCTGGGAAGCACTGTGCTGGGCATGCCTGTGAGGGTGCTTGGACAGATGTGCCTTGCAGGCTGAGAAGGAGGCAGCCACAGCATGGGCAGCACCCTCCAGTTGGTTGGGGACCCAGCAAGGACACTGGCAGAGGACAGGTGAGAGGCTGTGTCCTGGAGCTGGGATCCACTCTCCCACCCCCACCCCAGAGCATCAGCCGCTGCCTTCACCTCGGGTTGAGCCATACTTAGGGAGCTGAGCAGTGACCAGGCACCGCGGCCTGCAGGACCCCCTCTTGGCTGTCTGGTGGGTCCTCGAGTAACAGCCAGTCACCATCCCAGGGTCCCCAGCTTGCAGATGGCCTCTAGAGGATTTGTCCGCTGCATCATCATGCAAGTCAGCTCCCCTAACAAATCCCCTCATTTACCTGTGCACATGTATCCCACTGGCTCTGTCTGGGGAGCTCTCACCAACACCAGGGCGACCCTGCATCAGCCAGCCCTCCCTGCTCCGTGTTAGAGAGGGGACAGGAGGGTCATCCAAGACCACCAGGCTCCGGCCCATGGTCAAGCCTCCAGGACAGCCTTGTGGCTTGGTTACAGCACAGGTGGTGTAGGCCGTCAGGGCCCTACCTCTGGGACAGGCTGGCCAGCAGGAGGGAGCCGCAGGGACGGGATCAGGTCTGTGATGAGCTGCCCGACCACATCCTGCCCAGACGAGAACCCATGGAGATGAGCAAAGAGATCATCGCAAGACGTGACTGTTCCCTGGAGAAAAGCCCACACCGTGAGTGTTGCAATAAAAGCGTCACACACCTCAGCGTTGTCACTACACCTCAGCGTCTGCAAGCTAAAAGCAAGGCCATTTTCACGCCCTCCAAATCAGAAGCGCAAGAGGCATGCACATGTGCTCTCTCACAAGAACAGCGTGGTCTCCCACTTGTACCAGACGTGCAAACCGCTGGTTTTTAAGCAGGCTGCTCAGAGGCCCTGGCCCACACCGAGGCTCCTCCATAACAAAGGCCCAGCTCACAGCTGAGAGCTGTCTGCGATGCCTGCCACTGCTCTGAGGGCTTCACCTATGTGATTTCACCCAAACATAAAAACAACCCTATGAGCAGTTAGGTTTAGATTGCCTTTTAGAGACAAAGCGGCCAAGGCACAGGTAATGAGCACGCTTGGTTACTCAAGGGCAGACACCCGGCACTATCTTCTCCAGGAGTGAGCCAGGAAGGCAGGAAGAGTGCTGGCTAAGGTAGTTAGTGCTGGGTTCCCCAAGGCTCCCCAAGGCAGAGCTGCATGCACCCAAGACTCAAACACACACTCACCTCACTCTGGAAGGCAACCCAGGCCGCGATCCTCTCCACAGGCTCCAGGACCACCACACAGCACAGGCCACGCTCCTGCCGCACCCTCTTCATCCACACAGAGACCGGAATCTTCTCCCCACTGTGGCTGATGATGTCCACCTATGGACACAGGTGGCTGCTCCAGGTGTGGAGGACCCCCGTGCCCTGTGGACCCTGGTGAGCAGGACAGTGGGTACCTGTCCCAGAGAGGCCCTCCCTGCATCTGGCATGTCTGTGAACTCAACCTCCCTCGCATGCCTCACACTTCACTGACCAAACATAAACTAGGCTTCCAAGACCCAGCTTGCAGCCTCTGAGTGAATGTTTGATCAAGAGAGATATTTTCCCATCCTCAGTGTGGTAGTTAATCTTGGCTGTCACCTTGACTAGACTGAGATGCCTAAAAAGCTGGAAGGGCATGGGTCTGGGTGTCTGTGAGGGCATTTCCCGAAATGCCCACCCTCTGGCATGTGGCCAGGGGCGGGTGTGGGGAAGCCTTGTCCTGCCTGGGCAGCACTCTCTGTGGCTGGGGATCCAGATGAGACAAAATGCAGACAGGAAGGGGGCTTGCATGTGCATACGGGGCTTTTCTTGAGTAGAACCACTTTCTGCTGCAGCCATCACCGTAGATATCACCCTCCACACTTTGAGCACAGACTTGTACTAGCAGTTGTCCAGGGGCCCCTCAGCCTGCAGCCCGGGACTGAGGGTGCATCGCTGGGCCTCTTGCTCAAAGGCTTCCCTTCTCCAGCATGCAGATGGCCTTTGTGGGACTATTTAGCTTCAGATTACATAAGCCAATCTAATATATCTTCTATTACAATTTCATATGCATATTTGTTATTGGTTCTATTCCTCAGGAGAGCCCTGGCCAATACACTCAGCTTTGTGACATTATAGGGGGAAGGAAGGAGTCTCTGTTATTCTTAAACAGTCATGAATGTATGTCTAGTATTATAGTTTTCTTCTTTGCAGTCAACAGCTCTTGAGTCAGTCATTTCCAGATGTGGTTGGCCCTGTCCACCTCCTTCCACCCTGGAGCTCAGGCCTCAGCATCTGGAGACTCTGCTCATCCACATCCAGGTTGGAACCAGTGGAACAGGTGAGAGGATCGAAACTCTCCAGGGAAAGAGGCTGGGTCACACCACCCACCAACAAACAAATGGGATGTGTGGGTTCAAATGTTAGAATGAGTCAAAGCAATAAAATTACACCGCTCTTCTGGGGATCTGAGTGGTGCCTGCAAGTCTGCAAAATGGGGGCAAGCCTCATCCCTCCAACACAGCCCGGGGCTTTCCAGGATGCCCGCCCAGGTCAGTCCCACAGCAGTGCACACCTGCTGTCTCTGGCATGCCCCACCACCTCACAGAGAAAGCTGTGAAGCTCAAATTATTGGTGCTGCCCGGCCCTGCACACAGCACAGCTCAGGGCAAAGCCTGGCAGAGGAAGGCAGAGCCTCTCCACCACACGCCACTCCAGCTGCGGAGCCAAGCCAGCACTCTACCGTGCCTGCTCACCACTGTGCCGAACACCACTGCGGCATGGCCGTCGGCCTCCACATGCTCCTCACTAAGGGCCTCTGCCACCTCGGAGTCCGGCTGCAGGAAGAACTGCACCAGCTTCTGGCCAATCAGGTCGTGGCTGCTGTACCCCAGGAGCCCACAGGCTTTGTCGTTGGCAACCAGGATCTGAAGGGACACAGAGGAAAAGGACATGGCTTCACCAGCAGCTCCACTAACTCCCGAAACAGCCAAGGACGGCAGTCTGGGCCCCTCAAACCTGTGTCTCCAACTCTCTGGCCAGGGTCTCAGGAGACGATGCACAACTGTACTCGAGTACCTCAATCACATGGACACTGGCCGTGGTCAGTGCTGAGTCCCCCCAGGACATCTCCCCAGCCACAGTGGGCATGTGACAACCAAGACTACGAGGAAACACAGGAGACTGACTCCACTCCTGTCTGCTACCGTCAGCTACATGTACACAACCGCACTAACACAATGCTGAGCACAGTCCTCGGGCAGAGTTAGGCGGTGACAGCTCACACTCATCCTCCCCGCAGCCCCTCCAGGGGGCAGAGTCAGTGTGGTCTACTCAACTCATACTTAGTTTTCTGAATTTTTATCCTTTTGCTTCTACACAGGTAAAGCCAAATGTTCTTCTGATGTATTTATAAAACACAAATTCCAGCCAGGCACAGTGGTGCACATCTTTAATCCCAGGTACTCAGGAGGCTGAGGTAGAGAGACCAAACATTCAAGGCCAGCCTGGGCAACTTGGCAAGACCCAGACTCAACATGAACAATAAAAAAGGACTGGGACTTTAGTTCCATGATAGAGCACTTGCCTAGCACACAAGAGACCCTGGGCTTGATTCCTGCACTTAAACCACACACACACACACACACACTGCGTCCTCTGTTTGAAGTTCCGAGTTCACAGCTGGGCCTTATGCCAAAGCCAGTACCTCTGTGGTCTTGGCGTCCACGGTGAAGATGGCCTTGTTGGGGTTGTACACTGGGGCTGGGAGCAGGGGCATGGAGCATCCGGAAGACAAGCCTCGCAGCAGGGAGCAGCAGGAGGCGCTGCCCAGGGGCGCAGCTGGGTCCGAGTGCTCGGGGGCTGTGGGGCAGCACAGTTTGCTGGTGCAGATGTTCTGGGCAGCCAGGGACGAGAGGCAATAGGAGCTCCATCTGTCTTCTGGGGAAGGAAGGACATGGCTTGAGCCTCGAGCCACAGCCAGGAGTGCACTTCTGACGCAGGCAAGCTCACAGCCTGTGTGAGTCCACGACTTTGGTTAATCTGCAAAGTGAGTCACATACCCAGGACAGTGCCAAATACTTCCCAGGACTCCGTATGTGGCACTTCTGGCAGGTTCCCACAAGATAGGGACAACATAAAAGAGACGGCACCATAGGAAGCCAACTACATGATTTCCCATGATGGTCCACCCTACGTTTCCCAGACACAGTATGTACTTTTATTTTTTCACTTATCTTCTTTTTCTCTTGCTCTGCCCAAGTTTGCTTTGCAGAGCTGCTTTCTGCCATACTCATTCACCCTGCGCTTTTCCGATAAACTTTTGCCACAGTTTTGGCTTGTTTCATCCAATTCTTTGTTCAAGGCAAGAAAGACCTACAATACTTTTGATTGGCCAACCACTTCTAAAGGAAACATCCAGTAACAAGCCCACCCCTGCTGCACAGATCAGGAAACACACCCCAAATGGACAGGAAAACAGCCTGGCCCTAATCTGCACCAGGAGGTGACTTCCAACCGCAGCCAAGGGACACTATGTGCATACAGCAGAAAGGACAGAGGAGCAGGAAAGGGTTGTGGCGTCCTCCCCAGCACAGCCCAGCACCTCAGAAAGCACCTACTCCTACAACAACCCAGAACTACTTACATGTGCCCAAGAGAAAAGGGAGACACCACATGCTCAGCTTGCAAGGCTGCTGTCGTACCTGAGAGTGCCACCCTGCTCTGGCAGAGCTTGGAGAGTCCATCCTTCCTACTCAGGTGTCTGCGGGCTGAAAGCAGCTTGCTGGGCTCCGAGGTGTCCAGTGCGGATGGACCCTTGGCAGGTACAGGCACAGAGACATTGCCAGACAGGCACCTGCTGTCCTCGTCCACAGGCAGGGGGCCTGGGTCATCCATGGGGAGCAGGCAAGCCAGAAGTCACACCCCCACCTGGAAAAATAAGACCTGGTGAATGCCTGCAACATAAGAGCACAGAGCATCTTAGCCAGCAAACCCTTCACAATGCTGAGTTATGCTCAGCCCCAAAAGACACCTACACCACCCCGCCAATCAGAGCTGCCCTAAAGATCTTCTTCCGAGGAACACAGAGAGGCATACTAGAGAGAGAAGAAAAAAGGCAAAAATTAAATGAGGGAGTGGGAGGGGTCCAGAAGGGAAAGCAGGTCCACAGGAATGGGAAGCACTCCAGGGCCACTCTGCTATGCCTAGGCGTCTGCAGAGTCTGCAAGTCTCCCCAGCACAGGCAACAAAAGCAGGTCCAGAGCTGAGAGGCTGCTTCCGCTGCCCAGGCCTGGCACCAGAGTTCTGTGCTTTGAACTCTTATTTTGATACAAGTATAGATTCAAATGCAGATTTCAATAAACAACCCAAGAGAATCCCACACGCCCTTCACACCTGTAAATGCAATAGACCCTCTCCTCCTCTCTTGGTAAATTCATCTTTTTGATGACCTTGAAAACCAGGATAACATGGCTGGCTGGACTCCTTGCAGTGCTTCCTGGAACACTCCCAGGCCCTCTCTTGAGGCCTGTCCTGCAATAGGAAGGGCCTGTTTGCCATGTATCATCCACCAGCTTGTCCAAGCATGGCTTTCCAGCGAGGCCACTTCCAAGCCAGTTCTCAGGTGCTGCTGTGGGGTCCCCAGGTAGGAGGAGGTTCTCCCCAGGAGAACACCACAGAGTTTCCTCCAATGGCAACATCTTCCTTAAATGCAGTAGACTTACAGCCAGGAAACTGAAGTATGACTGCTTATCTGGACTTGTGTGTGTGTACTTGTTGTACATGAATACTCACACACACTTACAACGTACTGAACAGCTCCACACCACATGCCGGCAGGCATGTGAATCATGAATACAAACTCCCCAGCGCTGTGCACACACAGCCACTCAACAGAGCCTTGGAGAAGGAAGTGCCTCGGCGAGGAGAGGCCCCACCTAGTCATGCTGGGGCACCCAAGGTCAAGAGCATGCTGTGGCTACAGCGAGAACCTAGGCAGAGTCCCCCTCCCAGTCCAGAGCCACTCCCAAGGCCCATACCAGCCTCCTCCTACCTGGGGACCCCACAGCAGCACCTGAGAACTGGCTTGGAAGTGGCCTCGCTGGAAAGCCATGCTTGGACAAGCTGGTGGGTGATACATGGCAAACAGGCCCTTCCTAATGCAGGACAGGCCTCAAGAGAGGGCCTGGGAGTGTTCCAGGAAGCACTGCAAGGAGCCCAGCCAGCCATTCTATTCTAGCTGTCAAGGTCATCAAAAAGATGAACTTACTAAGAGAGGAGGAAAGAGTCTATTGCAGTTACAGGTGTGAGCCTGGTTATAACCAAGAAACTACATTCATGGCCCTGCACTGAGTCTGAGGGCCTGACCACGCCTACTAGGGCTGCCAGCGCTTGACCCCGCAAGGCAGGAGCCTTTGGCAAGGGAAGCTGAGAGTTCCTTCAGGAACACTGGCATCAGAACAGGCCACAGAGCTACACACATACATACATACATACATACATAGCACACAGGCATGTGACACACACCTGTAATCCCAGGACTCTGGGACCCCAGGCAGGAGGATGGCAAGTTTGAGCCCAGCCTGGATAACTGAGCGACTCAGACGGAACTTGTTTCAAAATGTAAAATTTTGTAAAGGGTAGAGATACAGCTCAGTGAAAAGGACCTGAGTTCAATCCCCACTACAGCAAAGAACAAATAAATAAGACAGTAGAACACAGTCACTTTCAGAAACAAACCAACAAACACATAGCCAGGCACACATCAATGGGCAGCCCACTTCCAGTAAGCAGGGAATCGGGGGCATACTCACCTACACTTCAGCACAATCTCAACCAACATGTCAGCAGGCTTTTCGTAGAAAATGAAAAGCTGATTCTAAATTTTACAGCAAGCAGAAGAATCGACACAATTTTGAAGAAAAAGAACTACAAGATTTATAGCCCTGATTTCAAGACTTAACTACAATGCAACACTAACCGAAATAGCACATTGGCACAAAAATAAATGTGTAACATAGAAAGTATCAGGGTAAAAAACCACCCACATATGGTGAAATAAATTTTTGATAGAAGTATCATGGTGTTGGGAGAATGAGATGCCTGTAGTTCCAGCTGTTCAGGAGGCTGAGGCAGGAGGATTATAAGTTCAGGGCCAGCCTGAGCAACTTAGCAAGGTCCTGGCTCAAAATAAAAATTTTAACATGGTATAGTAATGTATCTCAGCAGAACAGTGCTTGCCTAACATGTGCAAGGCCCTGGGTTCAATGCCCAGTACTGCAAAAAAAAAAAAAAAAAAAGATGATAATAATAATAAAAACTACCAGAGTTACTCAATCCAGAAAAAGTAGTCTCGTCTAGATAGATCTAACATACTGGGAAAAAATAATTTTGACCTTTAGCTCTTGCCACCTTAAAAATTAATTCAAAATGAACCATTTGATTAGCCTTCTGTGTGAGTTTCCTAGGACTAGCATAACAAGCACCACAAAATGGGTGTCTACAAACATACATCTAAGGCGGGCATGGTGGCACACACCTGTTATCCCAGCACTTGGGATGCTAAGGCAAGAGGACCGTTGGGAGTTCGAAGCCAGCCTCAGCTGCAAGGTCGTGAGTTCGATCTCCGGTACCAGAAAAAATAAATAAATAAATAAACATATCACTTAATAAAACACAAACACAACCATTAAAAAAAATGAAAAGACAGACACAAGCAGGGGAAAATGTTGACAACATGTACACCTGGCAAGCACCATGCAGCCAACACACAGAGCTCTCACAACTTAGCTGCAAGAAGACAAACAACACAGCTTTTTAAGAGTGAGTGAAGGTTTTGAAGAGATGCTTCTCCAAAGACAAACAGCAAGGAAGGCATGATGAAACGTCCACCGATGTTTCTCAGTGGCATGTAGATCACACCCACAGCCAGCACTCTTCAGATAATCACGAGAATGACTGAAGTGTGAAAAAATGAAAACACAGAGTGCTGGTAAAGACGAGCACCTGGAAAGTGCTACGTTATCGATGAGCAACGACAGGTAAGACCAGCTTTAGAAAGCAGTTTTGCCGTCATGGTGGCCCACATCAGTAATCCCAGCACTCGGGAGGCTGAGGCAGAAGGACTGACACACTGGGCTACATAGTGAGTTCAAGATAACCCTGGACTACACAGCAAGACCCTGCCTCAAAAAATCAAAAATAATAATAATCATTGACAACTTTTCTTTTAAAAAGCAGTCTACCGACAACCCCAGGACAGAGGAAGGAACACACATGTCCATACAGAAGCTACAAGTGCTTGACAACAGCCTCTTCACGGTGGCTCCAAACGTGGCGATCCAAATGTCTGTCCAACAGCAGGTCAGATGAGCAAATGTCGGTGAAGCCACACAAAGGAATCCTGCTCGACCATGCAATGCAAAGGCATGTGCCGGGGACACACACTGACACAGACCAACCTCAGGCCCATTCGGCTGCACCCAGCTGCCAGCCACACAACACTGAGTACCGAAGGGTTCCACTGACACAAACGCACCAGCAGCACGGTCTGGGGCCTCCCAGGCCCACGGCAAGGGCATGGGGCCACAGGGAGAAGCTTCGGGGACGCTCTCCAGTGGCTCCACTGTGCTTCCAGGACTGTACACACACCCTGAAGCTCACTGAACCTCCTGCTCAGGGTGGGCCACCGTCAGGGTACAAAATCATGCTCAATGAACTTAACGTCCAAAATGCCAGTAGGTGATTAAACACGTAAACAGTCACAGCTGAAAAGACTGCATGTAATGACAAGACATATGTGAATAATACAAAATGCATACAGACAAGAAAAAAATAGGACAGAGCAAAGTTAAGAGACAAAGAAGAAAATATAAAAGACTCTCTGCAAGCTTTCAGGCAGGAAAAGTTTTCTTAAATGGGAAACAAAAAGCTCTGGCTATAAAGTAAGATTAATAAAGTTAACACTAAAATTGAGACCACAAGCCTCGTGTGGTGGTGCGCACCTGTAATCCCAGCACTAGGGAGGCTGAAGCATGAGGATCATTGCGAGTTCGAGACCAGCCTGGGCTATAAAGTGTGCTCAAGGCCAGCCTGAACTGCATAGTGAGACCCTGCCTCAAAAAGGCAAAAATAAATAAATAAATAAAATAAAATTGAGACCACATGTCTACAAGAAGTACCATAAAGAGAGCCAGGCGGTGGCACATGCCTATAATCCCAGCCCTTGGGAGGCTGAGGCAGGAGGACTGCCATGACTTCAAGACCAGGCTGGGCTACATAGCAAGACACCGTCTCCAAAAAAAGAAATTAAAAAAAAAAAAAAAGAAAGAGCCAGGCATGGTAGCGCACGCCTGTAATCCCAGCACTTGGGAGGCTGAGGCAGGAGGATTGCTGTGAGTTTGAGGCCAGCCTGGGCTACAAAGTCAACTCAAGGCCAGCCTGAACTGCCAAGTGAGACCCTGTCTCACACAAAAAAGCAAAGTTTAAGGCCAGCTTGAGCAACTTAAGGAGACCTTATCTCTTGTAAGAAAACTAAGTGGGCTACAGGGTGTAACTCAGTGGCAGAGCACAGCAAGGTCCTGGGTTCAACAGCAAGGTCCTGGGTTCAATGCCCTATACCACAAAAGCAGGGCACAGACAGAACAAGCTGTAATTTGAGAGAAGATGTTTGTACACGCCATATCTATAACCAACCAAGAATACACAGAACAATTTTTAAAGGCAAGTAATTTAGCATTTAAAAAAGTTCAAAGACACACAGCTCAAGAAAAGTAACAGAAATGTTAAACTACCAGGTTTTAAAACTGTAATTTGTAAAAAGCATAATACAACTCCTCAGGCTACACTGTCAATGTTACGAACTTCATCGCGAAAGTAATGATGCTTCAAAATACATTGTCAGTGTGACAAAAGGTCACTGACATAAAAGG